TCACCACCATTACTCAGGAAAATCTGGAGGAGCCTCTCGGGAGACGGCCAAACTGTAACCTTGATCAAACTTTTCCAGCATTAAAATAGCAGCTCGGTCTGCAGCTGAACACGACCTCAAAATGTTAATTAGTCTCCAATAAACAGGCCGGCACTACTGAGCATGATGCTGTTTTGTCTTCAGAAATATAAAGCACAGGATATGATATAAGACAAAAAAAAATTCTGGTATAAAGATGATCAAAAATGTGAATGGTTGTTTAATTTTTGTGTGTTTAAATTTTCAGCTTTTGTCACAAAAGCCTGGAAACAAACAAAAAAAAGAGTTCTCAAGGATACAATAGTTTTTTTTTAATATTACAATATTTTTAAAATTATTATGCTTTTTATTTTATTTTATTTATTTTCTTATTTTATTTTATTTATTTTTGCAAATTAAGGCTGAAATGTTTTTATGATTTTATTTTTTCTTTATTTTCAGACTGTATTAATTTTAAAAAAATGCAGACAGCACTCTGGATGTGGCTTGCATGATTTCTGACATCAAAAAAACAATAATAATTCATATAACACCATGTTAATTTCAATAGAGAGCGGTGCTCAACAGTAACAGTTGCCAGGTTGCCACTGGCAACTAATTCATGATCTTTGGTCGCCATTAGGTGCAACCACATTTTAACTTACAACTAATAGGAACAACAAACCGTGCACCCTAAAATAATTACATTTTTAATATTTGTGGCAAATGTTGCTGCCACAGTCAGACCTGGAACCAGACAATGCTGCACGTATATTGGCACATTTACTCGCTTACACACAGGCTTCTGTTTTACAGACAATAGTGAAGCAAATTAGGTTGCACTTATGATTCTTGATACTTATTCAATTTTACACGCCTTCATCTCTTCACGCCTAGTTTACCGCCTGAATCAAAATCTATTAATCGACTCCAGACTGTGCAGAATTCAGCTGCGAGGCTTTTAACCAGAACCAAGAGACGTGATCACATCGCTCCAGTTTCAACCTCTTTACACTGGCTTCCAGTATGTTTTAGAATAGATTTTAAGATTGCTCCCAGCTATATCTCTGACCTCTTAGTGCCGTACACACCAGGACGTACTTTGAGGTCCTCGGGTAGAGGTCTTTTGTCAGCTCCAGAGGCTCGGCTGAAAACTAAAGGGGACAGAGCCTTTGCTATCAGGGCCCCGAGGCTCTGGAAATCAGGTTGTCTGAGTCAGTGATCTCTTTTCTTAAAACATACTTTTATTGGACAGCCTTTCCTGATTTTACTTGAGTTTTAAGTTCATTTAGGCTATCTTTTATTTCCTCAGCTTTTATACACCAAAGTGTTTTTATTAGTTCTTTTAAAAGTTGCTGTTTTCATATCTTGTCTGTTTTACTTTCAGCTACTGTGGTAAAGCAATTCAACGTTCTTTCATGTTACATTTTCATCATTAAGCTCATGTATAACTGCACTGTATCTTAATCACTCACAATGTAAGGTGACTAAAAATGACAAACATATTTTAAGATTTGGCCATCAAAAGCTGAAGCCTGGTTACCAGCCTGGCAACAATTTTTGAAGTTAATGCTGGAGAGTGACGTGTGTTTGCAGGCGGAGGACAGAGTGGACGAACTCTCCAAAGACCTTTTTCGGACCAGACAGCAACTACAGGTCACAGAGGAGGAGAAGAGAGGGAAAGAGGAGGAAGCTGCAGTGGTGAGATTTTTTGATGTCTGACGACTTTATAACACCTCGTTAGAGGTTTAATGTAACGGTTGAGATGTGTGTGTAAAGGATCTTCTCTTCTTATAGTCGAAGGAAGTTTTCCGGAGAGAGCTGGAGAAGGCTGAGCAGAAGGTCAGAAGGTCGTCGGGTATCATCGCAGACTACAAACAGGTAGAGAGAATCGATAACTGGAATCAGAAAAACAAGACTGTTTGGAGTCAGTGTTTGCAGTGCTGCCTAATGATGTTGATGCTCTTCCCTCTGCTCAGATCTGCTCTCAGCTGACAAACCGTCTGGAGAAGCAGCAGGCCGCCCACAGAGAGGAGTTAGAATCGCTTAAGGTGAGAAAAGTGCTCTTCCTGTGAAGCTCCACTGTCAACCTTCCTACTTTTATCTCTCTTTTTTGCTCTGTAATGCCGTGGCATGTTGCGGGAAATCATTTTACAACCCTTTCTAAAACTCTGCTTTGCTCTCTCATTAGGGTTCATTTTATTACAGCAGGTGTCATGTGGTGGAAGTAAGTCTTCACTCTCTCATATTCTGCCTGTTATTCTCATCCTGCATCTTCCCAGAGCGCGGTGAAGGCTTGCTCGCGCTGTCGACACATCATGGAATCAGATGAACCGTCCTCCACAGCTGAGACGTCTCCAACAGCAGTAGCAGCGTTAGAAGGCCCTGGGACGACTGAACCAGGCCGGGAAGAAGACGATGAAGGTCACAGAAAGGCAGAGCAGAGGAGAGACGACCAGGAGAAGGAGTCCCTCAAGGCCCAGATCAGGGAGCTGGAACAGGAGTTGGCCAAGACCAAACTCCAGATGGTGGAGGCCAAGTGCAAGATCCAGGTCAGAGCCGACCATCAAACCATCACACAAGTTTGGGAATCTGAACATGCAATATCCAGGTCACATCATGACAGCTAACCATGTGTTGTCCCTTTAATATCAGTAAGAATGTAAATGAAACCTCAAAAATAGAGAACAAAAGGTTTTTAATTTTAGGTACTTTCCTGGGAATATATCCGTTCCCTGAACCCTAACAGGGAAACTTAATTATTGCAACTAATGTACCAACTTTAATTCAATAAGAAGAGATCAATTTCAGTTGTATCAGAATGCTCATCGAGGTTAGAAATGGTGAGAGACTTTGGCTTTTGGACCCCAGTGATGTACAATCAGATTGTGTTTAGAAGGTTTTATGGGTGTTTTTTCACAGTAGAAAGTGCCGCTGTTTGCCGTTATAGTCGTTCCTTGGCTGCAGTGATGTTGCAGAGACAAAGGGTCAACTTTGACTGGTGAAACTGTCGTCTCAGCTAACAACAAGGAATTAGCCAATGTCTAGAGGAGACATTAACAGCCAATATTGTATGATACTGGCCATGAAAATACAAACTGCCCCACATGTTCGATGCTGCCTGGCTGTCAGAGATTCGAGAGACAGACATTGAATGTAAGAAAATGGAAACTCTACCAATAACGTCATATTTTGCTGTATTTATTAGCAAGCTAGCTAACATTAGCTCGCAAGCTAGCTTTCCATGTGCGTCCCACCCAGCACTGCTGACGATAAGCATGAATATCACCCCAGCACGTGACAGTCACTCGCCTGCATTTGCTCATGTGTGACTATCACCTGAAGACCCGGAAATGCTGACCAATCAGAGCAGACTGAGCTTTTTCGGAAGGGGGGCTTAAAGAGACTGGTGCTAAAACGTCATTTCTCAGACAGAGGGTGAACACAGGTGTTCCAGATCAGACAGTATGAGGAAAATAGAGTGTTTTTTGAACATGAAAGCATGTAAACATGTTCTAGTAGAAACCTAAATTACGTATGAACCTTAAAATGAGCATAATCTGTCCCCTTTAGGTGCTGGATAAACATTAAAATTGAGTTTCACTGTCCTGTTTTAAAATATTTTATTCCCGCTGTGGTTTTTAAATGCATTTGAAATAGGTAAATTAATAAACAGTAGTACTCAGGTGTATGTTGTTTTATTTCCTCCCACACCACACTTAAAAACAATACATGATATTGTTCAATTCGTATTAGTAGGAAGTACGCTTTTGTCAATTCTAGCTAGAAGCACAATTACAGTGGATTTTCATATACGTTTAATGGTTGACTCAAAAATTTAGCTTTTGTTACACTCTAAGATATCTTTTTCCATACAGTTTCACAGTAGTAGTATTAAATACACTTTAAAAAGTATACGTATAGTCTATAATAATATAATATTCATCTTTAGTGCAACAAAATAAATACAATAAAGTGGGTTTTTCTTAATACTGCTCGTAGGTATACTCATTAGTTTTCACTTAAAGAATTAATTTCTGTCAAACTTTGAAAAATCTGTGTAATATTCCAAAGTTTTTTAGAGAAATGCAGGAACATAAACAGTATGATTGCACATACATCAACTGAAATTCACTTGCGTTAAAGTAAAGGTCACATTCTCCTGCTGTATTCCTCACACACCCCCGTTTCATCCTTGTACAGGAGCTGGAGCACCAGAAAGGAATCCTCGCCAACGATCTGCAGGAAGCAAAGAACAGCTGGATCAGCAAGGCCTTCACCTCCCTGCGGACTTCCAGCGGAGGAGGACTTCACAGTATTAGCATACCCAAAGACGGAGCTCCCAGTGGGTTGGGCTGGAACATCCACAGCGGCTCCCTCTCTGGATGGAGCGCCAAGGTGCTGTCGTGGCCTCACAGAGACAATCGAGAAAACGTCTGACAGCTTGGACTGTGAATGTGCAGGTCACTTAAAGTGGACGTGATGGATGGATCAGACCTCAGAGTATTACTTCACAATGTTATGTGTGGTATGAAGCCAACACTGTAGCTGCTGTTTCTTGTTTTGTGCAGTAGAGGGCAGCCTGGAGCACAAGACGAGCAGAGGAGAGTACCTGAGAGCACAGACAGGTGCTGCTGTCAGACAGACACTATCTTGTCTTTCCAACAACTTAATTCACTGATGAAGCTATTTTTATATCTGTAAACCAAACCCATGTGCCAGGTGATTTATTTTGTACATTGCTCTTTGTACCTGTGCTGTATTTTATGTGTCTCTATTTACAAATAATTTGAATACAACATTATGTCTCTATTTACAAATAGTTTGAATACAACATTATGTGTCTCTATTTACAAATAGTTTGAATACAACATTATGTGTTTCTATTTACAAATAGTTTAAATACAACATTAAAAGAAAGAATGACTCAAACTTTTTTCTATGACATAACGAAAGTTGACTCATCACAGAGACAAGACGGTTCTTTCTGTGTTTAACCGCATCCAGTGTTCCTCTTTCATTCTGACCACAACGTCTGTTTAAAACAGCTGCTGCTCAAGCGCACACTCAGAGTCGTCGGCAGGCTGTAACACTGTTCCTTATCTCTGAACTTTGAACAAAGAATACAGTAGAGCTGTCTTGCATAAGTTAAGGTTCGTTACAGTATTTACAAAGCTATACAGACAAACTACGCAGATAATTTCTCCTGCCTGAAGCACTGATGGCTGCGATGTTTGGAAGCGTGTGCGTCATGGTGACTCTCCTCATGTGTGTTCTTGGAGGCCAAGCGCTGGACCTGCTGAGGGTGACTGCAACATCAGGGAGTGAGTACCAGACTGAGTGAAAATATAGTCACAGTTTATACAGCTTAGAGGTTTGCTTTAAGGCTTTATTTATGTCATGCTGTTGGTTTTAAGTTGTGTTTTTATCCCTGTGCTCTGTGAGTAAATAATAAGGATTTTATTGTAAGTTATTCACTTTTAGAATTGATGATAATTTGTCTGTGATGCTGCTGTTACACACTGAAGATCTCACTCTGCTAAGACGTATTTCTACCTGCCCTGAGTGGTTATCCAGTCATTTTATGAAGCTAATGCCATTATTTTATTTTATTTCTACCCTGTAAAAAGTGTTTTATTTAATATTTAATTGATTTTACCTTTTAAAGATGGAGTAAATGAGTCTGAAGAAAAATTGTTGATATTCGGTTTTGAGTTCAGCATATTAGAATATTCAGGATTTACAGTCCCTCTCATTCTCACTGCCTTTCACTTCACACTTCCATGGCCTTTCCCCTGTACTGTGCATGAGCACGAATGCCCCCTTTCTCTCTTAGCTAAAATAGTGTTGTATGGTTTGGTCCGTGCTACTTTGTTTCTCAATTACAGAGCCAGGGTTGTGTCTGAACACTAAACCCATTCTCATTCCCAGGTTGTCAAATACTGGGGCTTTGTCTCGTGTGCACAGGGCGCTTTTTTAGCACAGAGATATTCAACTTTTCACCCATTGGCCAAATCTGGTCCTTGATAGGGTGCCGACTGGCCCACTGAACATTTGCTTTTCTTTTTTTTTAATTTAAATTTTTGTTGATTTTGGTTAGGGTGGTACATGACGATTCTGCATGTCAAATGAGACATTCAGTCTTGACTATCAAAAATAATACAAACAGGGTAAAAGAGATCCGTACAAGAGGGGGTACAGTACCAGTCCAATTCTGCCAAAAAACAATCAAAATAATAAGATTAAATTTGAATAAATAAACACATTACAATTGACAGTGACAATAATATACATAAAAAAAGGAATAAATGGAAATACAAAAAATTGGCAGGGCAAGACAAAGCAAAAATCACACTTCTGGGCCCCCAAACCATCCAAAATAATTCCAAAAATCCCTCCAGATTGATCCTTGAGCATGGTTAGGACCTGCTGGAGTTTCCTTTAAATATTTGGAGTTATTTCCTCTCATGCAAGTGTAGAACATATGTGCTAGTTGGCTGTAGTCTTTGCAATGTGTTCAAGTGTAACTATTTGGTCAAGACACAGGCTACTTGAGGCGACGCACCAGTCCCCATCATTGCCACTAGTTCTTTGATGTCTGTTTGGTGTGTCTGGGCCTTCAAACTGTTGTTTTTGTTGTGGGTTCTTTCACACAGAATGCAAATATTACACAGTAATGTTTTTGTAAGAATGAGGTTGATTTTTCAGAGAAAGGAAACAAACAAAACAAAATTATAAAGACAATGAACTTAAGGACAACTTGTGGAACAGCATTGCTCTGCAGTCCGAACCAAGATGGGAAGCTTTATTACTTCCTTTGACAAACATCCAGATCCACTCCTTCACAGGCAACTGGACTTGCTTGAGTATTTGAAGACATTTCACCTCTCATCAAAGAGGCTTCGTATATATAGCAAGCAAGTCCAGTTGCCAAGGATATAGCACTTAAGATTACCGTGACCTGGATGACTGAGAATCTTCACCAACATTAAAAAGCATCAAAATAGAGCGTGCTAAGGGAAGGATCCCCCCCAAACCCTTGACAGAGGTCCCACCTAAGCCTAAGTCTAACCTGAATGTCCTTGAATCCCAGAAACTGGCCTCTAGCCTCCTGTCATTTTGTAAAAGTGGCCCCCAGGCAAAGCAAGAGTGTCACTGCTTTAGCGTCTTTAGGTGAAGCACAGCTGAAATACATCCTAATACATGCTCAGTGTTGTGAAACGTTCACTGTTAGGTTTAGGCAACAAAATATCTTGGTTATATTTGGAAAAAAAAAAAAATCATGTTTTTGGGTAAAATACGTACATGACATAAGTAACATCCGTGCATGACGACCGTATGTAAATTATGTAATGTTGCATTAAACAGCAGTCTCCTGGGTGAAAGTCCTGTTTTGTTTGACCCATCAACCTCCCTCCCACGCCACATGGACTTTGTTGCTCCTTATACTACGTCCTTTGCCCTCAGCGTCAAGTATTGCTGTGGATGGATTTACACTGAATAAAATTGAAAGCCTGGTGTGACTCATAAATACGCTAAAGGCTGCTTTTGGCGTTGATATCATGTGCCAAGGGCTGTGACAAAGCGTCGATATCTGATGACCTGAGGATGAGATCGACCTGGAACACCGTTTTGTTTGTTTGTTTGTTTGTTTGTTTCAAGCACACAGAACGTGAGCAAGCAGACCCTGAGGAGAGGTTTGCTCTGACAAAACAAACAAGAAAGCAGGAATATAACACAAACTTTACACAGAAGCAAATATGTTACATTTTGTGTATATTACGCTCTGCTCATGTTGCACATTACATGTGACTAATTGTCATTTCTTCCCTCAGCTCCTCCCTCCACTCCCAGAGTGCATTGCTGGTGTTCAAGCTACCCAAACGTGACTCTTTGCTCCTGGCCCGAACCCTCTACCTCCCCTCCGACACACTACATTGCCACCTACAGGTAAATCTGACAGCCGCCCTCCTCCTTCATCTGTGTACTGACCCAAGCCACTGACACCTTTTAGCAAAACACACTCCAGTCGTCAGGTTTCGTTAAGAAGCTCATTTGTATTTGTGTTAATGTGTTTGTCAGTGAGCGACACAGACTGCTGGACACCAAGCAGTGCCAACTTATCCAACCCGGCTCTTCATCCTCTGATCTGACTTCAACATTGTCATCCTCGTCTGAACGGGTACCAGCTTTATTTACCCTCAAATCAGATAGAGTGTATCTCCAGCTGGAGAGGGGGTTTCCAAAACTCAGTCTGATTTCAGTCGAAATGAAACCAAACACACGTCAATAATCAGTGTGAATATTATGAAAATATTACAGTAATGTTGATCCAGACACTCTTAACTGTATTTCCCAATTGGTCACGCAGGATTGGCTGAGCTTTGGAAAACCCCTGTTAACATTTCTTGTTAAACAGAAGCTGTAATCAACATGCCGTGTATGCATTATGTATTTATGGTGGTGGGAATTCTCCCAAGTGTCCGTCCTCTCTTGCACAAATCTATATTTTATTGTAAGTTTTTAAGATTAAGTTTTAATTTTTTGAATACATAAATAAATAAATGAGCTGTCAGTGTGCAAAAATTAAAGTAGTTTTGAGATTGAGACATGAAATATACTGCAAAATATATAAATGATATATTTATGAAGCTATAAATAATACACACAATTTAGCATCACATATAGTCATGTGTTTTTTTTTTTTTTTAGTTGTGGCACTGCCAACTGCCCAACCTGCGGCTCCTCACTGACTACATCTTCAACGTCACAGCAGTTTATTCTGGTGGAAGCAGCTCCCATCTATCAAGCTTCATGCTGGAGGATATAGGTGAGAACTGACATGATAAATATTCCAGTCTACAAGAGAATAAAGGAAGTGATAATGTATACTGTACATACACTTTCATTTAAAGCTCCTGTCTCTCTCTCCTCTCTGTAGTGAAACCAGATCCTCCCGTAAATGTCCGGGTTTCCCCTCAGGACGTCAGAAACCTGCTGGTGCAGTGGTCTCCTCCCCCTTCTTGGGCTAACCTAAACATCTTCCCCCTAAAATACCAGATACTATATCGATGGGAAAACAGGGGCAACCCGAAGTCTGTCAATGTAAGAATTATTTACATCAGCAGTAATGACAGCAGTGTGGTTTGAAAACCCGGTACTGAACACACACACAGACACCGCAAGAGGAAGTTCACTGTTTAGGTAACTGCAAGAATGTTTAAAGAAGTTCCTTCATCTGTGGTAATCCCTTTCATTTCTGCTAAAACAATGCTGAAAATGTATTATCCCCATGTATTATAGCTTTTCTCATGGGTTTTAAATGTAACTATACAACAGTACTTCTTATATTGTTAAAGCTGTAGTAGGTAATTTTGGCTTAACGGGGGGAAAACCCCAAAATAACCTTTGAGCATATTCTAATTTTAGTGATCTTAGAGAACACTGCACTTCCTCTCGGCTTTGTTTTCAGGCTTTAGAAAATCTAGCCTGAGACTTTAGCCGATCACAGGTCATTTAAGAAAGAGGGCGTTCTTATTGGCTATTCTATAATGCAGATGTCCTTTTGTAAAAGCCTGATTCAACAGTGAGAATCCTGCAGAGAAAGCTGCTATTCCAGCATTTGCAACAACTGCCTACACTGCAAAGCAGCCCAAAAAAGGAAGACAGATGTATCAAAAAGAGAGTCTGACAATAGACAAAATAAAACTTGAAAAAGAGAGTGACGACTGGTTGCTCTGTATAAACAAACATAGATCAAAATCTTGGGTCAGGTGCTTGTGGAGAACAGGAAACAATAGGATCGGCAGGAGGGCAATCCAGGTACTCCAGGTACTACTAAAAAATATAGAAAAATCAGGAAGAAATATTAAAAAGCCTTTATTCTACAGGGGTTAAAGTTCTCCGGCACAGCGCTGGATTTCCGGCGTGGCGAAGTTTCTGTCCAGCACAGGCAGAAGTGCTCTACAGTGCGAGCATTTCACTTGCATTTGCCCCTAAAAATATATATATGTGCAAGCCGGGAAAATGATTTAGGCGCACAGTGTGCGAGTAAACACAACCTACTGTTTACCATAATCGGCATCAGACGTTTTTTCATCGATAACTGATCAAATAAATGTATTTTAAAACTCGCTCCTTTGGCTCTGATACAGCCGTCTCGCTCCATGCCTGCAGTCCCCACTACATTGGGCTTTGTAACAATGTCCCGCCGGCAGTTGACCAAGCTGATTGGTTACACGGCACAAGTGATAGCCAATCAACACTGACGCCTGTGCATGCTTTCATCATGTCACATTGAGACACAGAGCACAGACGGAGCAGGAGAGGCTCCGGTAAGCTAGCGGTAGTTTTGAAGGTAAGGTAACAGAAACCAGACAGAAACGAAAGTTGCAATAAAAGTCCTCTATGCTGAAGTTTTAAAGTCACCACCACAACGTTATATGATCCATTTCAAGGATGACATGCTTGCCCAGAGGAGAAATTTCGACATAACTGCCTGTTTAATTCACATCAAGAGCGATACAATTTTGCAAACAGCCTAAATGATTTAGCTTCTAAAAATAAATAGCACCAAGGCAAAAAGGTACGGTGGCCCTGAAGGTCAAAACACAATAACATTACAGAAAACACAACGACATTGCAGAAAACACAACGACATTACAGAAAACATGACATTTCACAAAACACGACATTTCACAAAACGCAACGACATTTCAGATTATGGAAAAGGTAGGGCTGGTAGGGACAACACCTCTTGTTTCTAATTGGGCAGAACCCAACAGTGTAACGTCATTTCCTGTTTCTACTCAGCTGTGTCCGTGCACGAGTCTTAAATCGCGTTGGAAAGAATGGAGGACGAGATGGCGTTAATAGATGAATATTTTGAAAGAGGACATACATATAATGTCATTCTTGATATGCTTTCAACCCACCATGACATTAATATGTCCCTCGGAACCCTGAAAGCATGGTTGAAGGAGTTAGGACTGAGGAGACGGGGCAACTACTCCTCAACAAATTAAGTTAGAAGAGCCATAATATCAGAGCTGCGCGGACCTGGACAAATGTTTGGCTACAGAACTATGTGGCTGACATTAAAGCAAAGTAATGGTCTTCACTAAAAATCTTCAACGGGTAACGTTACCATCTATATTGTCCAGTTAACCATCATTTTCAGCACCTCCCCCTCACCCCACATTGGCTAAGGTTACCTGTACTTTTTTCTGTTCTTTCTTCTTCAGACTACTCCTCTGATGAGCGAAATTCAGCCTTTCCTCTGATTTCTTCCTCCTGTATTCGAGGAAGATCTTCAGTGATGGCGTTTTTGGGGCCGCATCCACCGCAGCTACACAAACAGAGAAAAACTAGTTTTGACAACCTTGCTGAATGTGGCCCAGGTTGTGTTTTGGTAATTCACGTTTTATATGAGTGAGCCCAAACATCAATTGTGAGACAGGCCGCAGTTAAAAATTATACATAGCATGTTAACCTCAGTTAAACGTGATATTTTACCTGAAGTTGAGCCTGTGACGTCCTCATTGTGCGTCCCCTCGGCCTCTTTAAATAATGCCAATGTCTTTCCGCAAGACATGCAGAGATTTGGCAACGACTCATACTTCTTTTCACAATGTGGACAGTACATGTTGTCTGCTTTCAAAGCACATCACAGCGTCTACACTTCCGCGTAGCTGACCATTCACAAAGCGTCATTTCTTGACTGGTAGCGAAACAGCCAATCACATCAGCTTATATTTTAGCACGTTTCTCTGGCTGCATCCATTGAATAAACTATGAACTGACTCGGGTTTACAATCAGAAACAAGAAGTGTTGTCCCTACCTTTTCCGTAATCTGAAATGTCGTGTTTTGTAAAATGTCGTTTTGTTTTCTGTAATGTTGTTGTGTTTTGTGAAATGTTGTTGTGTTTTCTGTAAGGTTGTTGTGTTTTGTGAAATGTCGCTGTGTTTTTGTGAAATGTTGTGTTTTCTGTAATGTCGTGTTTTTTGTGATGTGTTTTGTGAAATGTTGTTGTGTTTTCTGTAATGTCGTTGTGTTTTTGTGAAATGTTGTTGTGTTTTGACCTTCAGGGCCACCGTAAAAAGAGATGTAGGAGCTATAAGTCAAAAAGTCTGGTAACCACTGAAAGTTTAATCTTTTTTTTCTAAACTCATTATGCTATAAAAGTTTAATCTGAAAATAACTACTAAAGCTATAATCTTTCAGATTCAGAGTTCAGGCACACAAATCTTCCGTGCTCCACATTTCAGGCACAACATTTTTCTTGCTTTAACCCCTGATTCTAGTTGCTAAATAGTTAAAAGAGCCAACATGTTTGGACTGTTGCAGGTCGTCGTCAGGGCTGTCAATATACAACACAGGTATGGCCCCACCTATATAGTGGGAGGAACCAATTGGAGGCCATTGCATCACACATCACCTATATAATGGCATGACAGGTGAAACAAATAGACAGTGTTGCTAATCATTTAGCCTTCTGCTAACCAGAACCTAAGGCTCATGGCTGCAGCTTCAAGTTGACGTTTATATAGCCTACATTAGCTAACCTTAGAGCCTTGAATCACAGTGTGTCCTCCACCTCACTGCCCGTCACTACACACCACGTTACAGGAAGAAGAGCAGGCAGCAGCTCCAGAGACGGACCCCCAGTCAGCAGTTGCAGCAACCCAAATCCAGCCAACACAAACCCCAGAACTGAGGGACCTGACAGCCACGACTCCCAGCCAGATCAGCAAACTTTCTGTTGCTGCCGTTACACAGGTTAGATCCAGCAGCAGCGGCCAGGCCACCAGCCTGCCGTGACACCCAGCACTGGAATTGTTTGAAGTCTGAAGCTCCATCTCCTGAGCTGCTGCCTGCTCTCCTCCCCAGGAAACAGTCTACAGTGGCAGGAAGCGAGGCGGAGGGACTGTGGGGTGGCTAGCTTGTTAATTCTGGTCTCACTTGCGGGCTGAGAAACAGAGAGAGGGAGAGGGGGCAAGGAGGGCTTGAGTGAATGCGATGCATGCAGCTCTTCAATGAAATAAGATTGAATAAATCAGTGTATGGGAAACGCTGGGTAGCTGTATGAAGCCTGCATGGTTGTCTGGATAGTTTGCCTTCTCATTTAAATAAGCGTTGAAGGATTAGCTTGACATTTTGGGAAATATATTTATTCATGTTGGTGTTTATTACTGAGCTTTGACAGGCTAGCTGTTTCCCCCTCTTTCCAGTGTTTGTGCTAAGCTAAGCTAAGCAACTCCTGGCCCCAGCTTCATTTTTAAAAGACAGACTGGTTCAATCTCCTCTTCTAACTCTTGACAAGAAAGCTGATAACTGTTTCTCAAAATGTCAAAATATTCCTTTAAATCAATTTAGTCAAGTAGAGGATGGTCTTACTAAAACATATCCTATATTTTCTCCTCCAGCTGGGTCCGTTTGAGAGCACCAAGGTTGAGCTGAAGGGCCTGACCCCAGGAAGGACCTACGTGTTCCAGGTGTGTGCGAAGGAGCTGCTGGGTCTGGGCGAGTGCAGCGACTGGAGCTCACCTGTAAAAATCACCATACCACGAAGAAAACTGTAGAGACTCTCCCTCTCACTACCTGTTTTATTTATTCATGTCCTGTCAAGCTAGCAGTGATGTAACTGCAAACAGGTCGCATCTTTTAACTGCACAAGAAATGCAAGCAACAGTTATTGATATTTATTTTATTTATAAAGAAGTAAATGGACGTTATCTGTACAGTGTAGTGAACATTTCCATTGACATTGTAATTTATTATTTTGTAAAACTGATGGTGGAGTTATTTGTCTTTGGAGCAGCTGCTAATATAAGATTCATACTGTAAGACATTTATAATAATTATTTATCAGTGTCAGGTGGTCTGATCAGTTTTTACATGATCAGTTTACGACCTGTTTTGACCCTCTTTAAGACACATTTCACATTCTGAAATTATTGTGTGGCAGCTCCACATTTATGTGAAAAACTGAATAAAAACAATGCATTCATATTGTATCCTCAGCCCTGTCAGTCAACAACATCCACCACAAGCGGGGTGACAAACTCAGAGTGTCTGACACCCAAAGAGAAGGAGGGCGGTTTGGGGAGGTGTGTGTAAAACTTTTCCGGGCTGTACGTGCCGGGACCGGGGATAGCAGAGGAATAATTAGGCTTCTTAGTCCGTTTCTGTATGGAGAAGGAGGGCTGGCGCTGGCGGTAAATGTCCGGGCTGGTGGTGTCGTATTTTGCCGGTCCAGGGCTCATGGAGAGATCTTCGGAGGGAGCTCCGACCTTCCTCCGGCCTGAGAAGCTGTAGCTGGCACTGGAGGGTTTGTTGGGAACATGGCAGCCCAGCAGATTAGGGAGACTGTAGCTGGAGGGACGAAAACACATGAGCAACAGAGACGTTTCATTTCAGCAACAGTTTCTCTGATTTAAATCTGGCAATATTCGGTTTCTCAACACTTTCCCCAATCCCCAGCTAAACTCATTTATTCCCACAGAAGATGAAAATATTTTAAAACAACAAATATCACAAATAATTACTTTTATTTTTTAAAGATATCAATGGTATCCCCAAAAAAAGCTACTCAAACAGGAGTTAAGAGTTAATTTGTTGAGAACTAAAACACAAATAGAGGTTTGGTTTGAAAAGACATTATATGTGGGACTGACTTAAAATAAATTAAAATGCTCATGTTCATCATATTGAGGGAACATATTATCCCATAGAGCTCTATACCACAGAATAAATAAGTCTAATCTCCAGCTTTAAGGCTCATTTATACTCAGTGTTAGATACTGACATGGACGGGGCCTTCTGTCTGTACTCTGCATTCATGTTGTCCATATTTGTGCATGTTTCCTGAGCAGTATCATCAGGAATCATGGGGGCAGTATAGCCAATACTTCAAGTGTGACATGACCACAGTACACAACAAAGACATTTTAAAAATGGCGGTACTTTTTAAGGGAGAGGTTAAGTGAGTGGGTCAGAAATTTCAAACACCTATACGAGGTTACTTCACCCAGGCAAAGGGACCAACAGTTACTACAGAACAGCTAGGAGATTGGATGGGAAGTAAATATGAATGGGACAGTAGCAAAGGAAAGGCGGAGGTTCGTGCTGCCCTCTAGTGGATGTACCTATGTCAATGTACAGGATGTTTATAAGTTTGTGTGCAGTGACAGTTACAATGTGCGAAATGGAAATATTATTTTTGTACTTAATTGGAGTATAAACAAGCCTTTAATGTCTGTGTCCTGCTGTCTTCACCTGTTTGGCGCTGGCACAGCGTCCACAGAGCGATATCTGGTGCGGCTGCCGATGGTGTATGATGGTGGTCTGTGGTGAGCGTTGAGGGGTGGAGCCCTCTCTGGGCTGTAGGCCCCCGGCCCTGGAGTCTGGAATGGCTCACCTATCAATGCGAATAGAAATTAATTTGGAAAGTTTTCTTTTCTTTATCACTTTTATTAAATGAATCCTCTTCTAATATTTTGATGGTGTGATGGTTTAAAGACAAACACATTCTTTACCTAATTATCTGGATGTAAATATGTCTCATTTATCCAGCATCTATCAGTCAGTTCAGTTTGCATACATCTCTACGCAAGGCAGAATAAGAGTGCTTCTTTATGACCAAGGTGCAACAACAATAAACAACACTACATACAAGAACACAAACATTCATACAGCACAACACAGTCCCTGAGCCTGCATATCAAAGATGTGTGGAGAGCAAGTTAAAATAATAAAAACAATATAAAATGGTCAAAACAATAAAACAGGGGTCATTTATATCACCTTTATCATTCCCCATGCGCCTCCCTCTGCCCAGAATGGAATAGGAGGGGGTTTCCATTCGGCCAAACCGAGTGACCTTGGCGTCAATTTGGTACCTTGGTCCTGGGCTGCAGTCCACAGAGACCACTACATAAAACAGGAAGCACAAACAGTCATTCAAAGACACCTTTAGACCTCATGAAATGAAGTAAACCACTTCAAGACATGCATTTCACATTTAAAAAAAGGTATTTCACAGCTTAAAAGATGGCCTTTTCATACAACTGGGATATCATTGCAGAAGACAGACGCAAATACTTTTGAATTTGGTGCTATATAACCAGAGAAAACAGAATACAAAGGCTGCGGCATTGTGCTTTTGTTCTAAAGGCAGAAAACCTCCAACTACCAGAATGCAGTGCACCGCAACGCTACAGCCTTACCCTGCCTTCTCTGCTCTGATTGGCTAACTCTGACATTCTTACCCTTGCTCTAACCAATCAAACTCCTCTCACCTAAATCTAACCAATCCAACCAGTGACAGCAACGCCTACTAGCCAATCATAGCGAGCGTAGGGCGGGTCAATACATCGTTGTTCTGTCCGTTGGTGGGTGACGTAAGACGTAAGAGCTCGGCCGTTAATCCAAGGAAACAAAATGGCGGCCAACTAGCAACAAACTACCAAGATTTACAGCTAAACGGTACGCTTAAATACATTTTTGACAATATTTTAGGTGAGAAATATGCGACACAGTAACATAAATTTGTTAATATTGGATCAGCACTGCCTAGTTTTACCGTCTTATCTGAGTTTGAGAGGCCACAGGTCATTTACTAACTGCCCACATCATTATGATACAAAGCTAGTTGAAAATCGCCAGAGGGTCCCTCTGATTAAAAACTGTGGCACTGCAGTTCAGTATAACAGATTAAAACATGTAACAAGTTAGATAACTCACTGGCACTGCTCATGCGGCTGTGAAAGGAGTATGCAGGGCTGCTGGGCTTGGTGAAGTCATGGTTGATGTATCCGACTGTAGGGGGCAGCCGGTAGCGTCCAGGGCCCGGGCCTGACAGAGGAGGAGGAGGAGGAGGAGGACAGTGATGAGAATGATGCAACAGATACAGCTCCGTGCAGCAGTATGGCACACCCACTGCTCTTTGGCTCGGGCTGTGTCATCTCTGATGATTTCCATATGGAGCTCTTTCTCTTATTTTCTATGGTTAGGCATTTTAACGGTCCTCCTCTACGTGTTTGGGAATGGACTCTAAACAAAGTAGACATCTCAAACAAGTATGGAGCAATGGCTGAATAATGCTGTGAGAGAATTTCATAGTGAAAACCAGCTATAATAAAGTCCATGTGGATGCACACACACACTGACACACACACATACAGACTTCTTAAACTGACCTCTTTCTCTAGCAGAGATTATCGGCCGTTTCTTCACCACCTCCTGCATGCTCTGCCGGCCTCTTTCTTCCACCTTCTTCTTTGTCCTCTCCTCTTCCTCTGTAGGTCCTCTATCACTTCAGACAGATTCTTTTTGTGTGTGTGTGTGGCTCCCTCCAGGTGATCCGCGGCCTCCTGGGCTGAATTATACATGACCGTGAGGTGAAAGAAACATTATCTTGACCGGGGCCCTGGTTACGCCCCAACCTGCTCTCCACATCCTTTTTCCCAAGGTCCCCTCAGGACAGAGGGATTTCACAACATGGGTCATAAAATGACTCTGAGGGGTTAAAAAGAGGAGAGACAGTGATTGCCTTAGACACATCTTTAAATAAAGATGCTTCTGTTCAGCTTATTGTGCCGTGAACATATTAATTCAGTTACAGTGCTTTGTTTAAGTAAAATTTTAAAGGGGTAGTTCACCCCAAAATAAAAAAAATCACATTTTTCCTCTTACCTGTAGAGCTATTTATCAGTATAAATTGTTTTGGGGTGAGTTGCAGAGTGTTGGAGGTATCGGCCATAGAAATGTCTGCCTTCTCTTGAATATAATGGAACTAAATGGCACTGGGCTTGTGGTGCTCAAAGCGCCAGAAAAATATATTTTTTTAAAGATTAAAAAGCTATGTCTCTGTCCAGAAATCATGACCTGGTTACTCAAGATGACTATTTTCTTTCTTCTGAACTACACCCGACGACTGTATCACTGAGCAGAAGGAAGTGTGCATCTACTGCTAGCTCACCTAGCACCACTGAACTAGCTCAAGTTAGCTCAGCCAGGGAGGACGCTATTAATGTTTACATCTCATGCTATCACGAACAGCCTCTTGTCCATGAGTAGATGCACACTTCCTTCTGTGTGTTGATACAATCATACAGTGTTCGATAAAAAGAAAATAGTTCCTACGTGAAACTGCTCACAACAAGTGTAGCGACTGCAGGAAACAAACTAAAAGTCGCTGAGAGGCTGAGGCTGGGCCTGGGTAACTTGTCTGACACGCCAACAAGAGATGCGCCAAGATCCAAAAATATGTTAAATAAATGTATTAATGAAAAGAAATCAACTTATAACGTGCACAAACTTATAATTAAGATGATTACAGCAAAGAAGGAAAAGTGCGGTCAACGAAAAAATACAATGACCCACTCGCCCTTTTTCTCTGACCAAAAAAACCACACAGGTGAACATGAGTTGCTCAAATTGATTGAGTGTCATCGCCCCATCCATATGACCTGACTTTCCCAATACTGCAATCACAAAATAACAAAAAAATATTCTAAAACACTAATTTAACATTAATTCATGGCTCCTACAACAAGGCCTGTAGATTATCTTGAGTAACTGTTGTGATTTCTGGAAAGAGATATCACTGTTGAGTTTTTCAGATGTATTTTCTTGACGCTTTGAGCACCACAAGCCAAGCGCCATCTAGTTCCATTATATTGGAGAGAAGGCAGACATCTCTACAGCTGATATCTCCAACACTCTGCAACTCACACTAAACAGTCTACACTGATAAACAACACTACAGGTAAGAGGAAATATATGTTTGATTGTGTGGTGAACTGTCCCTGTAAACCACTGCTACATCAATCATGTCAGCCACATGTAATGTAGCTAATTTGTTATCCTATTCCGAGGCATTAGATTACTACAGCTGACCTGTGGTGTGTGTGGTGAACCTCTCAGCTACAGTATGTAAGCTGTACTGTAACTAATAGCATCTCAGTGCACATGCTATTAAAAATGAAAGCACTTCCACTCATCTTCTGTTGCAGGTGGATATTTGACAAGCTCAGCGGTGCTGTAATGAAAACCAGGGATTGGTGAGTATTAAGATTGGTTCAGGTTGTTTGTTTTTTTTAAATCTCTGTAAATATAATTTTAGACCAGTGCAAAATCTCTGAATGATTCGCTGCCGGCCAAAGTAGCTGGTAAATTTAGTAAGGTGATGTAACAGTGTGCCAAATGGCTTCTTCCACAAAGGAAAACAAAACAGACAAACAAAAAAACCCAAGCTTTTGAATATTGAAAAATCTCCAGGGATGTTTGTGTGTTTTCTCTTCTATTGGCTGGTAAATCAGTCAGACTTAAAAGCCTAAATTTATAAGCACTGAGTAGTGGGAAGTAATTACTGTAGGTGCATTTACTCAAGCACAATTTAAGGTACTTGTACTTTACTAAATCTTACAGACATCACGGTGGTACAGTGGTTCGCATTGTCACCTCACTGCAAGAGGGTTCCTGTTTCGAACCCAGGGTGGAGGGGTTCAAACCCTGGTGTGGGGGAGCCCTTCTGTGTGGAATTTGCATGTTCTCCTCATGTCAGCGTGGGTTTTCTCCAGGGTCTCTGGCTTCCTCCCACAGTCCAAAGACATGCAGGTTAATTGGTGACTCTAAATTGGCCATATTCCATACTAGGCCACCACTCCTGCATCTGAAAAATGTCAGCAGTGTCAGAAAAGCCCAGAGGAGAATTAACCTTTAGCAAAGACAGAAATGTTTGCTTTTCAGCGTGAGAAACCCAGGTAGAAATTCGCCCCCCTGCTCTCCTATTCTTTCTTCTAATACTATGCCTGAAGGCAGAGGTAACTAAGGCCTCACGAGCAGAGCCATGACCAAGTTAAACCCCACACTGGTTAAATATTAAACACCAGTGACTCGGAGTGGTCTCAGGCTCAGTAATAAGACTCTGCCGTGTCACCAGCAGGAGAGGAACACGCTACGCTGACAGGAAACACAACCACTGTCTTAGGTTTCCCTGATAAACAGTGAGACAATGCAGCCAGCGTGTCCCATCACTGGTGTGGGACTGGGTTTGAGATGCAGCCTGGATTCATTAGGGAAGATGTCAGCTTTTTATTGTCTTCTACAAAGTCTGCATTCCTAATTGTTTTTTTTAGTTATCAGGAGAGCATTCACAGATTCCAATGAAAAGGAAGAAAGAACTAATTAGATTTAGGTGCAGATAGCTCCACCATGTGGCCAGCAGTTTTATGTTTGTGCTCCCTAACTATGAGGTGTAAAAGCTTTTCTTGGCCAAACGCACATGTTCTGCCACTGACACTCTTGCCACTCCAGGAAATTTCATTTTTCTGTGGTTGCTAAATTATTATAAGCTTAGCCAGTATTCTTAAACGCATTTGGTCTCAGTAACCACATTAAAATGGCATTTGCAGGATCATTAGTGCAGTCTGGTCAAAATTAGATTAATTAGAATCACTTGAAAAGTTGGACAATATATCTGGAGTTTGTATTTATTTTTAGAAAAGTGAGTAAGGACTTCTGCCACGACTCAACCTACTTTCCAAGGCACATGGAGAATGGGGAGTAGTCTAAAGAGCAGTGGCAGCCACAGAAAGTTTTCATAGGGGTGGCCAGATGGTGCTTAATGTACATTAAAAGTACCAAAAACATTTTCCCTCTGAATTAGAAAATGTTTTGGGGGGCCACCTGGCACCCTATCGGGGCCCAGATTTGGCCTGTGGGCCTTCAGTTGAGTATCACTGGTGTAGGATTTAGGGGGCTTCTATTGGCAGAAACTGAATATAATATTCATAGCTGTGTTTCCATGAGTTTCTAATCACCTGAAAATAAGAATTGTTGTGTTTTTGTTACCTTTAGAATGAGTTTATATCTACAAAGGGAGCGGTTCCTCTTCCACAAAGTCCACCATGTTGTCTGACAGTAACCCAAAACTCATGTTTACACATCAGCCACTGTAATCATCCTACACGCTTGGCATGAGAGGAGTTTTTAGTTCTTCAACCTCACCGCTCCATGCCACCAAATCCTACACACTGGACCTTTAAGGAATCACATACTGAAACACTTTGGTTTCTTAATTAATAGTTTAGTTTTTAAAATGCCACTGCTGAAGAGGTAGTATGATGAGCCTGAAGGTCACAAGCTGAAATGCATGTCTTATGATAAAGTTGTCTTTAACTTTTTAAGTGTTTGAGGCAGTTCTGGATTAAGCCACAGCTTAAAAACTTTCAGAATATAAACTCACAAATTTAGGGATGCCAATGTGGCTTTGGGGTTGTGATGCCGAATATGAGCCACAGTTTGCTCAGGTGTAGAATCTGATATTAACACAAGATGTAGAGTTTATACAGGGTGTCTACAGGTCCTTAAAAAGTAACAACAGTAAAGCTTCAAAGGTCATTAAATACTCTTCAGTTTGAATTTGTGAGGTCTTAACTACCACAAACATTTTATCTAATTTCATTTAACCATGTTTAAATTTCTTGTTGTGAAAATGAGTGAAGCCTTTCTATCAGGGTATGAAGTTAACAAAAATATTTTGGGGGCAATTTTGGCCCCCACGGTCTAAAAAATGGGGGCATTTTCAAAATGTTTGGGGGCCATCAAAAAATTGTAATTATGTTCTAACAAAAAGCAAAACCAACTAAGATAGCGTCTTCAGTAGAAACCACTATAAATAAAATAAATAATGGGTTACATAAAGTTATGGTTGCAAAATATCACTCAGATTTCCTATAATTCAACCAGTTTAAATGTGATGATTTAACCATTAATCTACTGATGGCAGTAGTAATGTTTCACCACATTACAGTTACTTTTACTGTTAAAAAGGCCAAATTACTATAAATACCTTCATATATACACACATATTAAGTTAATTTAAAATTTAACATTCATTCTACCTTGATTTTTCATTAATTTGTCATCGTGTAGACACAGATCACCCAAGAAATGGTTAATTTATATTTATGGTACAGCAAAGCCCCCTCCCCTTCTCTATCAGATTACTCTCACGTAATCAGTGCAATCTCGTTGATTATGTCTGGAAAATGAGTTGTAGACGCGACGGTAAATTAATTTAATGAAAATAAAATTATACTTTAATGTCAGATTGTAATACTGTTAAAAATATAAATACATATAGTTGTTTCAAAAACTTGGGGGCAATTTTGTCCCCCAGAACATGGCTTTTGGGGGCATTCTTGGATAAATTGCGGGCCAAATGGCCCGTGGCCCTTGCTAATTTCTGACACTGCTTTCTATGTAAAAAAATGTTACAAATCTTCATAATACTTCATACTTACCTGTTGGCAAAATGTAGATTGACTTATTCACTCTAATAACCATATTCCTACAGAACACTTTAGGGCTGCCATGATTAGTCGACTAATCGATGACTAATCGACTATTAAAATAATCGGTGACTATTTTAGTAGTCGACTAATCGGTTTGAGTTATTTTTCATAGAAAAGTACTATAAAAGTACCCCAAAATACTCTTACTGCAGCTTCTTACGTTCAGATATTGGCAGCTTTACACACTCTCATGTAACAGTGAACTAAAACCCTTTGGCATGAGTATGAAACAAGACATTAGATGACGTAATTTTGGGGTTTGGGCGAGACAGACCGACATTTTTCAACATTTTAACACATTTTTCGATGAAATGATTAGTCGACTAATCGAAGAAATAATCGACAGATTAGTCGACAATAAAAATAATCGTTAGTGGCAGCCCTAGAACACTTATCTCTGCACAAGAACACATATATACTACTCACCTGCAATGCTTACCTGCGACACTTAAATAAGTAAAACATGACAAAAATCTGTCCTACATTTGGTTAAAAGGTGTCTTAAACAGGTCTAAAAAGCATTTCATTTAACTGTCTGATACCTGTCAACACCCTGATATAAAGAACACTTAAGAGACCACTGACCAGACATTTTATCTTTGAAGTCACATAATTTGTTGCATGCATTCTGTTTAGTTTAACAGTGGATTTAAGAGAAAATTACATTCTATATTCAGGTTATTAAATGTCTTTTTTGTTCATATAAATCGCTGTTTGGAAATATTTGAGTTCAGACATGCCAAGCAAATCCCGCGGCAGGAAATGTGTTGTATTCTGAGCAATGGGAGCTTACTGATATTAAAGATACCCATAACTGGAGGAGTGGAGATCTGTTTATCACTGTGTTTGCTTTGGTGTGCACACAACTCATTTCCAAACCCTGTGTTTCTGACAACATTTTTATAGAACATCAGAGATCGATAACAACTTCAGTCATTGATATTTTCTTTACTAACTAAACATAACTTAAGACATAAAACATTAACTTTATACAGTTTTAAATATGCTGGTACGATTCAATACAAAAATAAAGGCAGTGAAACGTCTCCACACACAAACACCATCAGTCACATACTGTCGCTCACATCAAACACATGAATGCTGGGTGAACCAGTTTGGCACTTATATAACAAAGCATGGTTTAGAAATACTGTTTGATAACTTGTTACTTTTTTCTTTGATTTGCAGTATCCATGGACGCTGAACAGCCACTAGATGGTGCTTCGGATCCACAGGAGAAACTCAAAAACAGGTCAGGAAATACTTTTAGATGCTTGAGCAACAGGTCTAGTTTGTTTGAATCTGTTTTGATCAGCACATTTAGAGCAGGTGCACACCAAACGTCTTTACAGATGCCCGACTTATTCATACTACAACGTCCTTTGAGAAAGCAGAGTAGTCCACATGGTGTCTCGCTAATGATGATGCCAGTATGTCCGTGGCAAATCCACTTTCTCAGTTGCACCTTTTCAGACAAAAAAAGTGCTCATGTCGACTGGAAAAGATGCATAAAAGAAGAAAATCCCAGAGTTTGTTGTTGGATGTCTTCTCACGGCCACGGCTGGTGTTTGAGCGTAATGTCCAGAGCAAAATGTCTTATAATTCCCATATACGAATACAATCTCTCTCTCACACACACACACACACACACACACACACACACAGACAGAAACACACTCAGTTCTTTTCTTGACTTGTTTTCTGCTCGTAAACGTAGCGTGTGCTAGGATTTATCCCCTTGGAGAACCTGAATTAAAAGACAAAAATCTGTTACACATCAGCTTTTATAAAACAGAACTGTTTTTGCTTTGTGTCCGTTTGTGCAGCACATGTCTGCGTGCATGCGTGTGTGATTTAGATTTGCGTGTCCCCTGCATTAGTGATGCTTACCTACCTGGTTGCGAGCTTTGTGGGATTTCTGCATCAGCACTCGCCACTGGTCGTACAGCTTCATGGACATGCTGCTGCAGCCGTAGGCGTGTTTCCGCACCCAGCCGAAGAACTGCTTCAGCTCCCTGCGCAGGGTGGAGTTGGAGTCCCCACTGGACTTTGAGTCGCAGGAGCCCGACATCAACCGCTCTGCGTGAAGGGAAGAGAACGAGGGGGAGAAAGGGAGACTGTTGGAGTTAGACTGGCTTTTGTGTCGAGTAATGAAGCACCTCACAGAGCAGCAGTGGCGTCATTACAGTTAGATATTGCAGGTCTACCATACACTAGACGGTTTTGAAAATACTTTCAAAAGACTATTAAAAGAAAGTCAGACACCCTCATATCTAAAGACAAGTGAGTTTTTAGTCACACACTTCAAGATTTTGCAAAGACTTGGGATCTTGCAGGGTCACTGCAAGACTACAGCTAGTTTCCTTTTGAGATTATTCCCCATCCTGCTCCTGGTGGAAACTATTACGCCAAACTCCCTTAAAGAAATTACATATTTACATTTCCTTACGTGTCCGCAAAAACACATAAGTCTAGAAACACAAGATAAAAGGCGTCATATGTGGACAGTATACTTGTCAATTCAGCATCAAAATAATCCATAAAGATAACTGTATTTGTGTACAAACTTTACATTTTGGATAAAGAAATAATAGAGAGTGCTGCACTGGGTTACGGCTCTGTGTAGTTAGTTGTAAAAAAAAAAAAAAAAAAAACAGGTGCCCTTCAGCAACTCGCCAGCTCACTCAGTGTAAAAGTCCATGTTACAGGCAGGCAGTCAAAAATGGCAAACTGACAGTAGTTAAAACTCCTTTATCAATACATGATAGAGAGTCTTCATCAGGGTGTAAAATGCATTGGAAACAGGTGTGCTATTGAAGAGTTCATGTATATTAGTACAACTTTACAGGGTCTACAAAGGATCACCAACCAGCAATATATGTATAAAAACATATCATCAATCATATTGAACACTTAAAAGAGAGTGTATAAAAATGTCTTTGTTGTTTACCACTGTATCATGTGACCTGTGTCACATGACCCATCACATGAGCTCTTAAACAGCACACCTGTTCCCAATGCATTTTACACCTTGATGAAGACTCTCTAGTCGAAACACATTAGTTATCCATGTGTTAATAAAGGAGTTAACTACAGTCAGAGTGCCTCGGATGTATTTTTGGACTGCCTGTCTGTACTGTGGACTTTTACATTTTGGATTTTGTAGCCTCTACTCAATTCCAGCCTCGATTGATTAGCTGCCCTATTTTAGTGTGAGGAGACAGTGGGAATGAGAGGTGAACCTTTTCAAAAATGAGGATTTTTCACTAAAGTAAGAACTTGTTGGTGGATCAGATACACGTCGAATTAAACACCTTATTTACTCCACAACTCCACCAGTTTCTCCTCCTTTTCTACAGTATATGAGAACTGAGACTTTGTCACGTTCTTGCACCTCCCTAGAGTCCCCTCTGTGTTTACTGTCTATTAGGGCTGCCACTAACGATTATTTTCATTGTCAACTAGTCTGTCAATTATTTCTTCGATTAGTCGACTAATCATTTTATTGAAAAATGTGTTAAAATGTTGAAAAATGCTGGTCTGTCTCGCCCAAACCCCAAAATTACGTCATCTAATGTCTTGTTTCATACTCACGCCAAAGGGTTTTAGTTCACTGTCACGGGAGTGTGTGTAAAGCTGCCAATATCTGAACATAAGAAGCTGCAGTAAGAGTATTTTGGGGTACTTTTATAGTACTTTTCTATGAAAAATGACTCAAACCGATTAGTCGACTACTAAAATAGTCACCGATTATTTTAATAGTCGATTAGTCATCGATTGGTCGACTAATCGTGGCAGCCCTACTGTCTATTGAGTTTGCTGCTTCGTGTTTGGTGCAGGAAAAAGCGCTGCTATCGGTTGTTGGCACATCACTGAACTTGGCACGAGCCAAGACAAAGAACTTAGAAGGAACTAATAATATTAAACATGTTTAATTTTGCCAGAACGTCAAGACGAGAAAGCTCAGACTGAGTTTTATTGACCACCTTACACTTAAAATCAAGGTCACGGAAGCATGCACCAAACTTGTAAAGATGATTTTATTCCGACACTACAAATTTGACTGCATCACTGAAATCACTTGAAGTTGTTTTTTGTAAGACCAGCATTAGTTACATTCCACCACTGCAGAGCAGACTTACAGGAAAACAGAAAGAGCGTCTGAGTAGTATTAAAGAAAAGCAAGCAAGGATGAAGTAAGACTGCTCAAGATGTGTAGTGTACAATATGTGTAGGCCAGTGTTATATACAATAAGAGCCATGAAAAGTTCAGGCAGTAAATTCACACAGTAACTGAGAGGACCCTTTTTTCAGTCTGGTGCTTTTGCCAAAATTCATGGGAAGTTCTTGGAAACCCTTAAACTTTTCTACAACCCATGTTTTGTTTTCACAGTCATGGCCATCATTCCTATAATTTATGATAATATTTTGACTCAGTAATTTCATTGTTAAATCTGTGGAGGCAACAAGAGCAGGTAACCACAGCCGAAGAGCATCCAGTGAGGAGAACAGCACGAGTTAAACCATGTTCAGCGTTCCTGTCTCGATCTTTTTATCAGGTCTTTGTGAAGCCCTTTGTGTTGCAACTGAAACATTACATAATCAAAGTCTGGATTGACTTTGTAGTGTTTGGGTTGGCAGTGATTTGATTTGGTTTGGCTATGATTTTTGATTTGATTTGATTTGACCAATGCATCTGCCCTAAATAAAACTGCCAACCCAAAACAAAACAGGCAGGGTGAAGGGTAAAAAGTGTAAAACAGCACCATCTTCTACTTCGGCAAGGCGGCCAGTTTCCAGCAGTGGGAGAGCGCTGTGGGACGTGTGGTGCACCGTGTTATAAAACAAGCTTTAGTGGCACAAATTGCTTCTTTAAATGGACCAAAAGGCTCTCAGAAACCGAGAACAAGAGCAAGAAAATGTTGTCTGAGTAGTCCTGTGAGTGTGTGTGTGTGTGTGTGTGTGTGTGTGCGCTCACCACTGTGGGGTGTGGATGCAGCAGTAGGATGGCTCCACTCGCTCCAGATCCCAGCTTTGCGAGAGCCGTAGATGCCCACGGGGTTACAGCGAACCTGGAGAGGATACAACATTATGGGATACTGACCTAATCTGAAGCACACTTACACACACTGACACACACAACCAGATCATACCTGGACAAAATACACTGTTCCAGGTCTCAGTCCAGCCAGTCTACAAGATGTCTGATTCCCGACGTCATCCATCACCTACAGGAAAAAAAAATGAACACAAACATAGGAGAGTTGGAGGTCTGACCGCAGTATTAAATACCAATGTGCATGAACTAAAACACAGGGCAGAGTCAAGATGTAGAAAACACAACCACAAACCATGTACAGACCTAAGCATGCATGCACACCACATTGTTTAGTGACTCCTGATCAGCATGTTTATGAAAATGTTTTAATGTAATCGTGCCCACCGGGTAAAAGTCTGCTCTCTATTACTTATTACAGAACTGGATACGCTGAGAAACATTCACAGGAGCGTGCACAGGTACTCGGAGCATACAGGACAGCAAAAATAAAGACAGGCGGATAGATAGAGACATAGAAACGCCCACACACTGCAGTTAATAATCTTGTCTAATAGTCCCCACTTTCTCTCTGGCATTCGGTCTGTAAACACTTGTTAAGAATGACTACAACAGAAAACAGAGCATGGAAATTACAGGCATCAGAGGGCTAATGATGTGACGTGGGGAAGCCAAATCGGCAGAAGTTACCGCCGAGCTACTTTACAGCCATATTGAAGGCATTAACAGCTGAGATGTATCCCTCCATTCCTTAGCATGACCTCATGATTAGGGCCGGTTCAGAGGGAAAACGGCGTTTTGTTTTCACCACCAAACCCTTAAAGCCACTTGGATTTAAGTCTCGTCTCTCCCTCGAAACGGTCTCATCCCTCCGCCGCCTCTCTCCACTCCCCTTCTTTTCTTTTTCCACTTTGCGAGCAAAGACTTGCTTATATTACATCTGTGTAATTCCCCCTTAATTACTGGAGAATCTTCACTCGTACCCAGAGGACTCATATGAATCCTGGGAAGCACCATCTGCACGCCTGAAGGTTTTACACTGTATTTTTCATTCATTAAAAGTTTGAACGGAGGTATACACAGTGGCTCTGGCCTGTGTTTTTCTCCTGATCAAAACCTGACTTCTAGATTTATGGCTGATGAAAGTTTTTGAACTGTTAACCCATCTGGCAGAGGAGGCCTCAATCAAACTAGATTAGGGGTGATTACAGCATTAGGATGAGAAACAGCTGGGGCAGAGCTGCACTGATGTATCTGTTTGTGCGTACGAGACAAAGAGAACACATTTATGTCTCTTATAACTGCACGTCCTTGTCCTTTACCTTCCAGTCTTGGCTGTCCTCCAGTCTGTAGCGGATCTGGTATTTGGCCTGGAACAGGAAGTCTTTCAGAGCGGGTGGGGCCTCCCAGCGAACACTCAGCTGGTCCTCTAACTGTCCGACACGACTCACCGTCACACCTGATGGAGGGTCCGTGGTCACTGGAGGAGGAGGAGATGGAGGAGCTCATTAAATAAGAAGATCTCATCAACAGGTGAAACAATGAAAATGTGCCAAGAAACATACCAGTTCCAACTTCTCAAATATACAATATTGTAGACCAAAGCATTTATTGATTAATCAAGAAAACAAATTATTAAATGCAGTGCTAATTTCATCACATCCACTTCTAACAAGTCAGGCTCAGAGCCAAAACAGGTTCGCAATAACGTCCAACATCCCAAAAATTACCTCTGCTGTATGAGGACATTGAGCGCTAATCATTGACACTAGGTCTGCAACTGTTTTTTTTTTTTTTTTTTCATTGCGGATTAACCTACAAATTATTTTCCTGATTAATCAACGATTCTTTTAGTTAATAAAGTGTCTCATAATAGTGAAACAGGTGCAAACATCTGGCGTTTTTGAATGAAAACATGACTAAAATTATTTTTTGATTATCAACATAGTTGCCGATTTATTTTCTTTGATTAAACAAATTGTTGCAGCTTTAAGTGACAAGGGAAATATGGAATATTACCAAATATTAAATATAAAAGTGTAGAAAAATGAGTCTGCTATAAATTATTTTGGTTTTGGTGATGCATCGTAGCTAAAACACAAGCATACAGGACATATTGAGCGTCACTTCCTGTTGCCATCTTTGTGTTCCTTTTAAAGAATACAGTCGAACCATGTGAAAGTGGTGAACAATCTACTTTACACTAACATGGTGTAATAATTTCACACACATTGACAGGAGAGAGGGATCTTTAAAGCAGCACCAGCAGGACAAGTTAAAAACAGAACATTGACATATTGTGACCATTTAAAGTTGTTCTGGTGAACACGTTAGCAAACAGTTGCATATTTACACACAGAGCAACAATATCATGAATACGGAGTTGTGTCTCTGGCCACCTGACAAATGTGAGTCTAATACAGAGTGCTGCAGGAATGAGTACTAAAAAGCAGAAATGAGTTAGCATTTTTGCACTCCACTTCCCTTTTCACTTTTTTTTAATGTTTTTTCTGGATAGATGCCTGAAATAAAGGCAGTTGCTAGCAAGTTGGCAAATGAAACTACAGAATGTCATAATGCCAAACACGGCTATACAGCCTTGTTGGTTGGTAGCGTTCAAGTCATGTGACCCTGGTGTAGTACTTTTGTAGCCTAACGTTAGCTTTAAACTTCTGGCGACTGCATTTATGCTTCTAATATTATAAAAGTGGTGTTTGAAGATAATTTGCAAAGATTATCTTGCTGAAAATGTGTAATTATCCTGGTTATTCAGGATAGCTTATTTTCTGCAATAATCCAAAACAACGCAACGCTAACATCAAGGTCAGCCTACAAAACACATCATCCCTGCAACCCTCTGTTGATTCTCTTTTTAGCTCAGTTTTGTTCTCCACCCACTCCTGAGGGAAACATCTGGCTCTTTAGCTGCTAAATGCTCCTCAGTGTTCACCACCTAGTTGCTAGCTTTGTCAGTTGTGTGTTGCTGAGCAGTAGTGTACAGATTTTTAGTAAAAACAGCTGCCTGCTGCTGGAGATGAGGTTAATAAGAGCAGTGACAATAACCAAAACAGTAAAAGTGTGGGCAGGAAAACCAAAACAGTGAGCTTAAAGATGCTAAAACACTCAGTAGAGTTGAGGAGAACTGTGGAGTTGAATGATAATTTTCTGTTAGTTTGTCATTATAGGCGACTCTATTAACTTTACACACAGTCATTGGACCCATTGCTAATATAACATTATGGATTAGAGCAGTTTTAAAGATTTTAGTAATGTCCTTATAAAAAAGTATGCCAGACAACCTGCTGGACTTCTGTTAATTTTTGGAAAAACAGTGTGTGACTGTCTCAAATCTAAAATGTTCAAACAATGATTTCACGAGAGACATAAACCAGAGTACTTCTTAATTTATTGCAGCGATTATCAAGTATATTTCCGTCCTAAGAACGTAATAATAAACTGCTGGTGGACAGATGGACCAGATTATCATTTTTAGCCAAAACTTCATAGCTTGGGGGGCTTCTTTATACACTTTAAGGTTACATTTGCAGGGTCAAGAAATCCACTCAATTCAAAGCACTAGGAGTGATGTCTTTATGTGTAACAGCTCATTGAAGGATTGTTCAGCGTTGGCGGAGGTTTGTGGTCTCCGGGTGCCTTAAAGTTTCTGAAGAGTTGACTTGTGTGAGCTGGAAGGGGCTTTTTCATCTGACAACGATTATCTTTTCGACAAACAAACATGCGCTGACAGACCATTATTTTAAATTTCCTCGCGTTTTGTTTTGGGCTTTTGAGATCGTTTCAATATCAACTACAGTTCCCCTTTTTATAATGTCATCCCTTACCAATAAACAAACACAGCAAACCCAGGGGAAAGAAGAAGATGGGAAAGATTCAGTGGAGGGGAAAAAGTGGGAGTTGACATGAGAGTTTTAGAGGATTTGTTTCTGGTCCCCAGTGCTTTGGAGGAACCGGAGACTCTCTCTCAACTAAAATGTGTAACTTCAGACATGTCACTTTGTACTCATGGGGGATTTAAAAAGTGGAAAACCAATGGTGGCACACACAGTCATCCATCTTAGAAAAATATTTATTTTCAACACAAAAGTGGAGAGGAAAACTAAGAAAACTGAAGTTTCAAAGCTTTGGTAAAACATCTTGGGTCAGTGTTTGCCCAAATAAATGACTAGTATGTGCAATTAAATGGAAAAACAGAGTGTGTTCATCGGAATAACTGAAGCACTTAAATGTATTTTTCTTCTATTTTCTTTCCTGTGCAGGCTTAATATGGTTTTTAAATACTTAAACTAGTGAAAATATATATTTTAAAGGTTTATCCATATATCTTAAAACCAAGATTTTGTTATCTCGGGATGACGGTTTATTTTTTCTCGTAATAACTATGGGCAGAATTTCCACTTTTAAGAATCATGTTTTTATCCCCCTACTTTCCTGTTTGAAGTTTGATTTACTCTCTAAGAAATCTCTGAACAGTCTTTTTACTTTCTATATTTCATTTGGCAGAACAGAGAGTTGATAAAAATCCTGATATGAGTCCACAGCCCTACTCTCTGATTTGTGGATGTTTGGATGTTTTCTTAGAGCAGCACTGCCAGCAAGACTCAAGGCTGAAAAAATACCTTAAAATCCTCTGCACTTTGTCTTTTGGGTAAAAGAGAAATCACTGAATGATCATAGACTCTATAAAATAACAGACGTAGGGGCCCTGACGTCACCAAGTGGTTTGTGGACTCATGTTTTGAAGCCTCGAGTTTGGCATTTCAGCTGTCATCATCTTGTTTTTTGAAGCCAGAAGTGACCATATTTGGATGAGAGGGTGGGGCTGTGGGGGAGTCGGGGGTGGATCTGACTCATAGACTGTGGCAACACCTCACAGACAGCCTGTCAGTCAAGCCTTAATAGAATGTAAATGGTTGAGTTCACCCCCCTACAGTTGGCATGAATATTGAAAAAACATTTTTTGTACTGGGCTGTAAAGGGGTTTATTTCTGCTATAAAGTTGTGAGTTATCCAGAGATGAGACGAGATGTGTTTACATCTTCCTCTTTTTATGCACATTTTTAATTTGCACAATAAAAAAAATAGTAGAAATGCCAAAAATGTAAATAAAAAAATAAAAAAGCAAGAAACATCGTAAAAAAGTTTTTAGACTTGGGGGAGGTGGAAAAGTTGGTGTATCAAGAAAAGGTAATTGTGACTAAACGTAACACAAAACAGATTAAGTGAGTAAATGATGACGTACAGTCATAATGTATTGTTATTGTATGGGCCACTGTCTTTCATCGTGTCTGGATGGCATAGCTCTAATACGGGTTGTTCAAAACTCTCGATTTCCATAGTTCTTTGCTCTCCGTTGTAACACATCCATTGCTTTCCTTCATTTGAGGTTTGACTGGTGCGCTTTTTATAACATCATCTTGTTGCAGCCTCTTTTGCAGTGGCACCTGACTGGAGAATTAGCGCCACATAGAGCTTATTCAGGGTGTCCGCGGGGTCTTAAAAAGTATTAAAAGTTGATAAATCAAATGTCAGAAAATGAAGGCCCTTAAAAAGTATTAAAAAGTCTTAATCGCGATTTTATGAAGTATTAAATTTTCTTGGCATTCAAGCTTTGACAAAAAATATCTATGAATGTATAATTTATTTTCCTCCTCACGACTATTACAAACAACAATGAGTAAGTAGGCACACTCAGACTGCCACTTGGGGCCATGCGTGTACCTGTGTGACATCATGCGATGGCGCACGTCCAGGCCAAACAGAGGAGCAAAAGACAATAAAAAATCCTTCTCATCTTATCTGAGTTCTGTTGTATGTTTGTGCTCCATAGATTTAATTGCACTTTAACTACAACTGTTTAGTAAGTTAAAGATGCGTTGCTGCTTACGACAGCTTGAAGTGACAATGAGGTCTTAAGGTTTTTTTGGAAGGTCTTAAAAAAGTCTTAAAAAGGTATTGAAATTAACCTCAGGATTCCTGCATATACCCTGTTATTTCAAACACCCGATAATCGCTTAACTGAAGTGGATGGAAAAGCACATACATTTGCATTCTGTTTTGCTGATTTTCTGAAAATTTATTTGAAATTTGCACTGTTCTTATTGTCGTAAAGATCAATATACATTACTTGACATAAAGTATGAGCATATATAGCATTTATAATTTTTCTATTTGACAACATTCCCACACATTTTTACCAATGAATTTTCAGAACTTTTCAATAACTTTTCCATACTGTTTTACCCTGTTTCCATGACTTAATTTAAAACAGGTAGGCCTGTATAGCGATGCAGCTATACATTAATCCACTTTCCAGGCATTTGTGGATAAGTTAACTGTGAGCGCTTGCTAACTTTGCTAACTTGCTATCTTGCTAACTGCCAATAAAATTCTGACAAGTTTGTATGCATTTATTTCTTATACAAATATTTGTTTGTGGACATGTCTAATAATTGTCTTCCTACCTAGCCTGAACCTTAGTGTCTGCAATACCTAAGTGAATTAAGTCTGTCTTCCTTTGTGTAAGTGGATCAATGATTGAACACAGTGGGTGATTATTGCTTATCCAGACATCTGGTCTATGTGTATCACATGATACTAGTGACGTTTCAATGGTCACCCTGCGCAGCACTAGATGTTAAAATGAGTAACACAAGGAACAGTTTTCGTCTAACCTTGAACATGTTTTGGGATTTTTGTGAACATCTTTTAAACAATAGCCACAACAGTGCATTTTTTCCAAAACATTCTGTTAATTCCAAACCTTTTCTAATTTCATAACTTTTCCAGGAATTTCATAATCAACCCTGACAAGATTATTAACTTAGTTATCTGATTAAATGGGTTCTTATACATCATATGCATTAGGCAATAAAAGTCAATGAGACATGGCAAATTACTGATGAATCACTGTTAACATATGTTGTGTCATCCCTCAACATATCCTCACCTCAGACAGCAATACAAGTTGCCTCTAGTCTCTCAGTTCAGAGGGCTCCCCGCGACTGAGGAATGCAGAGAAGACCGTAGGTGTTTCCACCTCGCCTTCATAACTGATTGGACATGACCGTAGCCGTGAGTGACTCACAGCAGCTCCACACAGGTGTGGTTGCTGTGTTTTATGACCTGCTACTGTTGTGGAAACTGCTCGCGTGAAAAGACTGGCCAGGGCAACCCGAGCGAAACAAAACCCACACACACTCACACACACACGTCCAGAAACCGCCTACACTCTGCCTGCCTCTCTGTTTCTATACTGTTACCAGACCCTGCCCTGCCCTCGGGGTGTGTAAACAGGTGTGTGTGTGCATACATTAGGGAACGGAAAAGGGATTACAGTTTGATGGACACTCTCCCGGTGACGTGTTCGCCTCTGAAACTCTATAATGTTTTCCTCTCGGTATATTTTCCCCGACATCGTTACGAGCGTGTTGAACCAGGTGAAGAGCTCCAAGCTAATCAGATTGTATTATTTCAGGTCCAAGTCTTACAGCCTCAAAGCCCAAACTTCTCAGGCCTCAGGGGTCTGCAGCCGGCTCGGAGATGGGATTAAGTTCGAGGATCAGTGTGGAACATTCCAACACGACATAAAAGGGGTTTAGCGTGTGTGTTTCTGTATGTGTGTCCAGTGAGCATGAGTAAAGAGAAAATGAGCTCATCAAAAGAGAGGGCGTTTCCATTTGTCACACACCTACGCCTGTCCAGGTGTGTGCATGCATATGTGTGTGTGTCTGTGTCTGTGTTTCAGAGGATAATGAGAGAAGGGAAGAATTTTGATCTTGTGGTCCGTTTGCTTAAACCGCACTAAGCTAGGCAACGGACCACATAACAAAGCTTTAAAAGGGAACACTGCTCAGTTCCTATCAGTGTAAGCTGGATGAGTACTTGTGAACAACTTTCTCCAAAACGCCAGAAGCCACAGAACTCAAGCCAATGTCCCGTCTGTAGGAATAAAAGAGATGAATTTATAAAGCAAAGTGATACTCAAGACGCCAATTTGAGGCTAAAGCTGAAGTCATTCATGGTTCCCCAACTGAGGGGTCACGAGATAAATCTCAACTCTTGAATCTGTGTCATGTTCACACTACTTTTACCCCAGACTGCAGCTTAGATACATTTGGTGTCTTTGGAAACTTTAGGATCTCCACTAGAATTTAAAACAAAGATCTGAGTGAATCTTCTGCACAAAGCTTATCTCTAAAGTTTAGCTACAGCTAGCCTGGCCCTGTGCAAACTTGCTAGAGGCCAAGAAAATGTCTGGCACATAACCCCCCTGTAAAACCACAAATTGTTGCTATTACACCAAAAATTTTTCAACTGATTAAACAAGCAAGATACAGCGTGTTAATTAATAAGCTTTAGAGGTGCTGGGAGGCATGGTTTTATGTTATGTCTGAAACTTTACCCCCTGCTTACATTCTCAGGTCTAAGCTAAACTAATTGCCCCCCTGCTCAAGCTCCAGAGTGAACACAGAGACATGAGAGTGATATCACTCTTTGCATCTGACTCTTGGCAAGATGGAAGATAAAAGCAAAATGTTTAGGTATTGCTTTATATCTGCTAATACAAAGATAAACAAATCAAACCTTCAGCTGCATTCAGAGGGTTAAAAGATAGCTTGGTGCGATTTAATATGATAATTTTAGCTGGATTAGTTATGCCACAACTGAAAAACAAGTATCCCTTCTCTGTCACACTGTGGTCTGGACATCAAAATACGCCGTCACTGTGACGCCAGGGACATCCTTTAGTGTACATATGAAACCCACAGGACTTTCAACCAACTCCAATGTAAACGCAACTGTGTCATCAGATGTTCAGAGCAACGAATGTAGTTTAAGGAGCATGAAAATCCACTTTGTGCATGTGGGAGGGGAGTTTGATGGGTCCAACAAGCACCGGACTCTAGGAGACTGGTGTTTGTGGTCAGTGTTTAGTTATTCTGTCACATCAGTCGCTAGTCAGTCGTTACGCCGAAAACACACCAACCAGAGTAGTGCACCAATAATTGCCTAATGAATGATTAATTTTTCTGTGGTTGGGAGGTGTGTACATGTGTTTCAGGTGGGAAGAAATTCTATGTAACACAGGGCAACATGTCACAGAAGTGCATTTATGGCTGTGGATATTCTCTGGCTGCAATTCACCGTTGAAAGTAGTTTGGCCGGACTTCCCTGCAGAATCAAATGGCTGCAGCTTGGAGCGGCTGCCGCACTTTACTATAGAGCAGTGGTTCCCAACTGGTCCAGCCACGGGGTCCAGATTTCTCCTTAGTACTTAGTTCAAGGTCCACACAGTTTAATATATTCAGCGTCATACCGGTACTTGAGTTTGGCCGTGTCATCAAGCTAGTTTGCTGTCTCTGTCAAGTAGCTGTCCATTAAACAATCACTCTACAGCAGGAAATGACACTTCAAAGTAAGAGCTATACACCAGAAATTCATTGTATTTCAAAATACAGTGTGCTTTTTTTTTTTTTTTGCAAACTTGACACATTCACAAGTCACTTGCGGTCCATTCAGAATGGACCCACGACCCACTTTTAGATTGTGACCCACCAGTTGGGAACCACAGCTATAGATACTGGCCGCACTTTGCCACTGCTGTTTTAGGCATTGGTCACATGAGCCAGCTAACGGAGTGGTTTTGTTGCCTCGACCTAACTGTGAACCCCTTTTTAAGTCACGTGAGTCGACTCAGATCACTTCCCACCAAACCCTTCTGCGTCAAGATACAACGCAAAAGGCCCCTGCGTCTTTACAGTGACACTGGGGCTTCTGCCCAGGCGTCAAAATATGACAAGCAGGGATGAGATCACCTTGTCTTTCAGGATTATACAACCCACCAACACAAGACAGACTTTTAGACAGGTTTTTTTTTTTTAGTGTTGGAGAGTTTATTTTTTATTTTTTATCACTATACTATAACTTGTATTGTTTTTCTTTCATCTGCAAAATCACTTCAGTATTTGCTAATACTCATGTTTGCTTTGTTTTTCCTTTTCCTGTTGTATTGACAGAGGGTTAAATCACAAAATCCATCACTGACTGAACTGCTCACAAGTCACAGATTTGTGTAACCTGTGATGAAGGGTCGCAGGTAGACACTGCTTTGGTTATTCAAAGGTCACAAGCCTAAAAGGCTGCGACCCACTGTCCTATATTAGAGCCTGAGGCCTCACTGACACCAGGATCTAAGCTCTAAAAAACAGTTAAAAGAAGAGGGTCAAAGTTCACTTCTTTTCACACCTACCCACGTCTAGGATGTCGAGGGTGATGACATCAGAGGTAGCCTGGCCCAACTGGTTGGAGGCCTCCACCCAGATCTCGTAGGGCGTGAAGAGGTGCAGGTCCCGGGTGATGCTGCAGGAGTAAGGCTGCGTGTGAGTGTAGTCCTCGCACTCCTTCTCCTTACCATACCACCTGGGAGGAAAATATAAAATACTCAGATAACTCTCAACAGCACCGATATCCATGAATAATGCATTTGATACAGAATTTATTGCATAATGTGTTGACAGTTTAGAGTTTATCTGGCTCAAGTGGTTTTATTGAGTCCTTATTTACACTAATCTGATTGCAGTTAGAGATCTGCGTGAGTTGGCACGCCTGCGGGCACTGCATGTCAAGTCATTTCCCTTTTGGTGCTTTTAAATTGCTGATTGAACTATTAAAAAATGTGAGCAGGGCTTACAACCCATCTGAAACTCATTTTCGAATATGTAACATTGCCAGATGGAAACCCGTTTTCCTAATTCTCATGAAATTTGACTTTTCTACTGAAGGAGGGCTTTCACCCTCTGGCAACCACTGATGTTATTTTTCTTAAAATAAGGTCTGCCAAACAGATAAGGCACTTTGTCCTGTTTCCAGCTCCACCTTAGCATGTTTCTGAGACATGTCAGCATCAGAAAAAAACCCTGGAATACGTAGAGTTTGACTTGGAACGTTCACAACTGGCTTGATATTTAACCTGTTTGAACCCAAAACTGGTTTTGCTTGGTTTTCACTCCCTTTATTGACAGGCATATTTCATAGTCACTCGACTAGTAGAAAGTATTTTTTTTACAGATTTAAGCGGCGTGTGTATGCTTGTCTGTTAAGTCCCGTTTCCACCAAGCAGTACAGTACGGTTCAGTTCAGTTCGGTATGCTTTTTCTCCTGTTTCCACTGTGTAAAGTTGTGGATGGTACCAATGGAACCGTTCCGTAACATCCCCATTTTTGGTCCCCCTCTGTTGGGGTACCTAGCACACAGATCTGGTACTAAAAGGTGGAGCTGTGAACACTGCAGTCTGTTGACTGGTCAATAGAGGACGGTCACTCTGCTCAGAGCTGAGTTGTGGACGATAAACATGGTGCAGACTTCCATCTGTGTCAGCGGTGATAAGGAAATACAGTGAGTGCTGGACAGAGCAGTGAGTGACAACAACCCCGCTCGCATTTTAGAGTACTGTTTGCGGTGGAAACTCTAGGGTCTAGGTACCACGTCTGAAGGGTTACTTTTGGCTCCAAAACTGAAAGTGTTTGGTGGAATCAGGGTTTTAGAGGTAGGAATCACCAGAAGCCCCCAGTATACGATATTATCACGATACTCCAGTAACGATACAATATTAAAGTGTTACTGCACTTACAAAGTATTACCTTTTTTAACTGTAAATTATGCCACCAAAGGAGAAATTTGTCAACATCTGTTTTATCTAATAACATAAAGTTTTAGTGATAAAGTTTCTCACTTAGTCAGTTATTTTTATTGGAGCAAAATGTATCTAGTGGACTGAAAAAAACAATTTATTTCATCAGGCTACCCTAAGTTAAATTTGTATTTGTAACATAAAAATACCACGATACTGATACTGAATCAGTTTTTATTTTTCAACCCCTACCAAACACCCAGTATTTCACCTGCACGAGCATGGTTTTGCAGGACAAAGCACTACACACTTGCTTGCGTGCTCTAAATGCACGCTCATACTTTATTTGATAGCCTGCCTTCAATTATGTAAAAATGCAGAACAAAAATGAGAAGTTGGACTTAGTGGCAAAGTATGGGCTACTTTTATTTTTAAGGCTTTGAAAATTAGGCAAACCACACTGAATAATACACAAGGTCATACAAAACACACTGTTCATGTTTTCCTGTAATTTGTATATTTGGTCTCACACCTGTATACATGGAAAGAGGTCATCTGCCTTGTACGCCCGTTTGGGCTGGGCATCTATTGATACAGACCTACATCTGACGAGATTTTGTTGTTGAACATGATTTATTTTCCATCTAAAGGTCAATATATTTTAGTGTTATTGAGATGTACATATTTTCCATTATAATGATAGGATAGTCAATTTGAGAGTTAATTAGGAATCAGGTAAAACCCATTGAAAATCTGCAGGAAGTCTTGTGGTGGTTGCAGCCGTGCCAGCAGTACAAAGAGCAAAAATCGTCAGTTTGCTAGCTTATTGAAAAAGTGACAAGACGACCCAATGCAAGCCGATGGCACACAACACTTTGTGTGACGCAGCACGTAAGGCAGCGCACCTGGATGAAATACCAAGTTTTTTGGGAATGACTGAGTTATGACTCTGAGAAGAGGGGACGTGATTTTTGATTCAGATAGCATCAATCATGTTCAAACAGTTAATTTCAAGAAAAAGCAGATTTTCAGATAGTGGACTGAATGAGTTGTCACAATTAATATTTTCTCCAGTGCATCTTCTCTGTGTGTGTGTGTGAGTGTGTGTATACCTGAGTTTGTACTTGAGCGTGTACTGTGTGCTAATGTTGGTCTCTCCTTTTCCTCCTGGAGCCCAGCTGCATGTCAGGTCTTTGGTGTTCCTGGACCAGCAGGTCAGATTGACCGGCTTCTCCGGAGGCACTGAGACAGAAAGAGGGACGGATGGAAAGATGGGGGGAGGAAGGGGGAGAAAACATGGGTGAAACATGAAAACATGGGTGAGGAGGAAGAGGGAGAGTAGAGCAGAGAGAAAGAAGGTGGAGGGAAGATGTCGGGTTACTAAGGGTACAGAGTTACCTCCAGCCATTACTTCAGCCCTTTCCTCCTGAGTGTAATTCACCCACTGGTGATGTTCCTCGGAAATTGGTGTTTTTTTCTTAATTGGTGTGTGTGTATGTGCGCGAGTGTGTGTGTGTGTGCTGTCTGATTTGGTCAGACTCGGGATCCCTGCCAACATTCCTCGTCTTTCAGAACACAGGGTGCTCAACACCACTGTCGCACAGAGATTAGGATCCCGACTGCATCTCCTTGTGTGTGTGTGTGTGTGTCTCTGAGAAAATGTAAGCACATGTTTCTCCATGGCTAAGTTTTGCCATTTTTCATTTCATCACCTTTCAGTCTTCAAAATGCTATGTATTTTTCTGTATATGGGAACTACAAGAAAAGGAGTAACAAAAGATAGTTAAAAAAGGCATGTGTGTTTGTGTGTGTGTGTGTGTGTGTGTGTGTGTGTGTGTGTGTGTGTGTGCTCATGTACTTTGGAGAGGACAATTTTAAGAGTGAGGCTATTCCTTATTTCTTCAGCAGGCTGTTTGAGAGATAAAGGATGTGTCCTGTTTAATGAGAAACTAATCAGAAAGTAACTCTCAGCAAGAAAGCATATTAGCTTATTTCCCAAAATACCCCTAGAGACAATAAGGTTATTTTAAGCTTATTATTAGGCACCACAATGACATCCAAACCACCCAATAAAATTCACTATAAAAGACAAATATTTAGGGGCTAGGCAGTGGATTATGTAAGCTAGTGGATTGTCCGTTAAAAACATGCCTGTTCAGAACTGGCCGAATGCTTGGTTTTGAGAAATCATCCAAAAAACTTCAAACTCGACACTGCACTTCCCTGGATCCTGAGCAATACACCTGCCATTACATAGTTGCGTCCCCTAGCAGTGCTAGAGTATAGAGTGGTCCTGTGATGATGTTTATTTGTAGGCCAACCAGGAAGTTAGCATCACCCTGGTTCCCTCCACAAATAGCCTAAGGGATTTTTCCATTGGTCTTTGTATTATTGCAGAAAATAAACTGTGGCAAACAAAGGTTTATGAGACTTACATGTGTTGTTCAGCAAGATAGTCTTCACAAATGAACACCACTTTAATGATTTTTGAAGCATAAATGCAATCGCCAGAAGTGAAAGCTAAGATTAGGCTATGAACGAATCACACCAGTCGCATGACTTTTATGTCGCCACCACAACAAGGCTGTAAAGCTGTGATCCGCAACCGCCTTTTTTTAAAGACACATAAACGCTTCAAAATTCACAAGTGGGGTATTTACTGATGCATTTTATGTCGTAGAACCATACCTTAAAGTCTCTTTAGCTTGTGTTAACCACAGACCTCTTTTCAGGCATCTTACCAAAAACCCACTGACTTTGAGAGGAGGGAACTGAGAGTGCTAAAATGCTAACTCTTTTCCATTTTTAGGATTCATTCCTGCACAGCTCTATCCTCCTGAGACTTGAACTTTTCTTTGGTTTGCATTTTAAATTTCTCCTAGCTATTTTAGATCAGTAGGACCTGATAAGTATAAAAAACTAAACATTGTTAACGATAATTAAGTCTCAATGCCCACAAACGAGACAATAATAAAGTCCCAATGTCCTCAGACGAGTACTTCCTAATTAACAGCGTCTTAGCTTGTTACTGTTGCTAAAATTGGTCAAATGTTGCCATATCAAACTACAAACATTATTAATCATAAATAAACAAGTTTCAACCATAAAATGCAATCAGGTTTTGTAACTTGTCCACTTTTGTATCGGGATCGGCTGCAGACTGGATTAGTGTATTGTGCTCTTACTACTACTAGATGGCACAAATTGTGTCCACGAACAAGGACAACAGGTCTAAGTTAAGTAGAATGACGTATAAGGTCAAGTAAATTTAAAATGTGATGTTCTCATATGCGGACACGGGGTCTCAGGAGGATATATGCGTCATTTGCTAACAGTTAGCTCTCTGGGATCAGGTCATTTCAACGAACGGAAGCACTCATCATTCTGAAAGTTACATCACTGATGCTTGAAAAGTTTGCTACAATGCAACATCTCCGGTCTCTCTTTCGTCATCTGTTTTTCAATGCACTGTAACGAGTGATGGAAAGCCAGCTGAACAGTTAAGAGGGGTCCCCTCTCAATACACTACAGTGTGTACATAACACACTACAAATAAATATGTCCCATAGATCTCAAGGGATTACACTTGACACTGCAATTCCTTGGCTCTTAAGCACTACAGCCGCTAAGTGTTAAGTCGATCGGATTAACAGTTGTCGAGAAACAGAAGGACCGACAGACTCCTTCTATTTTAGTGAGATGCTGGACCTCACAAGTATAGAGGCGCACACGTGTGTGTGTAAAATGACCCATGCCCTGTGAGTGATGTTGCGAGTAATGGACCACACAGGTGGTCACACAGGGACACGCTCATGGAGGCCTCTCACTGGCCTGAACGCAGGAATACTAAACATAAAATACAGCCACAGAGACACTTTAAAACCTGCCCACTGCTTCCTTGTTGTCTGCCTTTATTCCCATTTCCTTTATACTTCCCTCTCACTCCTGTTCTGCCCTTTATTCACCCCTTCCCTGAACATTCACTAACAAATGCAGACACAGATTCCACAGAAAATAGGTGGCCAAATAAATAAAACATTGTCCTCTACATAAATCATATAACCACAGGCAAACTTACTCCCGACGTAGAGACATGAGCCAGCCAAGATGTGTCCCTTGTGATTGTGACAGACCAGGTTGTCACCGGACGTCTGCCTGGAGGCGTTGAGACCGGCCAGCGTCACGCTGAGGTTGGTTGGGCTCAGCACTCTGTACAGGGAGCTGGGCAGCTGCTGACCGTTGAGCGTCCAGAACAGAGAGCTGGCGTGGACGCCGAGGTCGGGGTGGACCCAGCAGCTGGCCGTCAGGTTGGACCCCATGCGGAGGACGGGGTCCTGGGGGTAGATTACTGCTACATCTGGAGGAGGACAGGAGGAGATGGACGTTAGCGGAAGATGAGAACTCCAGTAACTTTAACTGCTAAGGTCAGTTTACTCATCATGTCTACTTAGCAACCATATGATGTTTTCTGAGGCTCTGATTGGACCATTCTAAAGTCTACGAAATGAACCTCTATTGACATCACAGTGATGTCATCAGGGTTATGAGTTGGCTTCAAATATTGGGCAGAAAGCCTGAATTACAAACTGAGGGTGTGGAGTTTGAAAGATGTGGGTGTTTACCAGACATAGAGGATCTATTAAATGTTTTACAGTTGCATTGTGGGCTCCATTATTTCTGGAGCTTCACCCATCCTACAAACTAAAAGTCAGTGGTATCCGCTGCTTCGATTTGAACCTTTCTTTTTGTTTTGTTTTTTATTCCCTCTGCTTAATGGAAGCGTTGTACTAAATTACAAGAGTATACCTTTCAAAGAATCTAGACGTTGGAAAAACCAGCCTGAGGAGGGTGGATTAGCTGTCAGTCACCTCTTTTTAATATGTACTATCTAAATTATTGCATTTGTGAGCTACAATATGTAGTTGGATTGTCTCATTCAAGAGACAAACAATAAGAGCAAAGTGCGCATGGATGTCATGAGAGGGAGAACGGGAATTTTGTGGTTTGTTGTGTTGCAGTGAAAAGGTGACTGGTGGCAATGGACAGGTGGTGGAACAAAAAAAAACCTACCTGCTTAAAGGGATAATTTGGATCTTTTGAAGTGGGGTTTTATGAGGCACTTATACGTAGTCAGTGTATTATCTACAGTAGGTGTCAGTCAGCACACCCCAGTTTGGAGGAACAAGCAGGAGCACCACCACGGAAGCTAAGCAACGTGCTGCTGTGGACAGGGGCAGCAGCAAAATGTATTTTAGCCACAAAAAAATGTCTGATCTAAAAAAAAATCAATATCAGTTTAAGGGTGCTCTCAGACCTAGAGTTGTCTTGCTTTGGTCTGAATCAGGGACTAACTTAGTTACAAAGTTAAATAATTACCTAGAGTTGGTTTGTGTTCTCACGGCAACATTTACAAGCAGACCAGATCAAATGTCTTGCGTGAGAAAGCTGCTCTTGATTGGTTAGAATTTCCATGCAGGAAAAATCCAGGAAGTAAACAAAACGTTGAAGAAGAGTACACTTGCAAGATAAATGTGACACTTTCTAATGTCACAATGGAGGGACAACTACGCAGGTTGATTTTAGCGCTGCTCATCGTGGACTATATTGCTGTCATTGTTCATTTTAGTCAAACCAAAAATGAGGCGCGGCTCCAACTAGAAAACAATGTTTTGATGCATTGGATGTGCTGAATGTGCATATTAAGGCAGTACAGGAGGAGGTGCACATTAATAATCCTCCAGGACTGTAACAAGCTTATGTTTAACCCAAACAATGTATCATGTGACTGCAGTTGGTTCAGATCCAGGTCGGAACATGTTCTCACCACAAACGAACCGCACCAGAGTTCATTTGTAACCGGACCGAGACCACCTCTTCAAGAAGGTCTCAGTCCAGTTGTTTTGGTGCGCACCCAAGTGCAATTGCTATGTTCACACCTGCCCAAACGAACCGCACTTAGGGGGCAAACGAACTTGAGTCTGATTGAACCGAACCGAACAGGGCAGGTGTGAAAGCACCCTAAGTGTATGCTATATTTAGAATATTTTCACAGCTTTACCTTACTGTCAGACATTTTTCAATGCGTGACTGAAGCCGTTATATCATTCTCTTCAGTGATTTAACATACCTGAACACAGGAGCTGCTGGTCAACTGCTGCCCCTGTCACTTTTGTTTCTGTTATTGTTTGACTTTGGTGTTCGAAGTTGTTATTTCTGATTCACCAAAGCCAAAACTGCTGTTTCTGTCTTCAGAGTCTGGTGGCTTTGACGAGAGCATAGAAGGGGAGCTGAAGCTAACAACCTTCCTGTCAGAATGTGTTGTCTGACGGAAAAAGAAGGCAGTAATAAGACTCTCAATATAGTGTACACTTAAACTGATACTGACTTTTTAATTGGCTAAAACAAGTTTTGCTGCCGGCTCCATCCACAGCAGTACATTGCTTAGCTTTTGTGTCTGCACTCCTGCTGCTTCTCCAAACAGATATCTACTGTAGGCAATACAGTCTATCGATAAGTGCCTCATACAGTCCACTTGAATCTGAACTATCCCTTTAATAATACTGTGACAAAACTATGGCAGAAATAAAGGTGACTAAATCACTGTGATGGATTACCTATGTTATTTGTGCAGGTTGATTTTCTGTAGTAAAATGTGTGAGAAGGAAAATCCATCTAAACTTGAGACATGCCAAAGAATATGGTTGTCTGAAATGCAAAATATAATGTGAATAAAACATGTAAAAACTTTTTTTTCCTCCTTAGAGTAGTTGGGTACAGCTGTTGTTTGTTTTTCAATGGTCTTGGGTTTTAATCCTGTCAAACAGTTGGTAAACCCTCATGGGGAAGCTGTTAAATAAATAAATAAATGCTTTTGCTATAAATAATTTGTATTGTATTTTACACATTTGGCTTTTTGTCTTGCTACAGGTGAGCAACACCAGATGTGAGGACAAGAGTAAACACAGCAGAGAAAAAGAGAGGAGATTTAGTTTGTTTCTTCAGATTGGAGGATTTTTAAAAAATGTTGCCCACCTAAGTCGACGGCGCTGAGAAAACACGCACGTCAGATGATTTCCGTGCAGAAATGACTGAGCGGTGAGTGAGTGAAACACTTTGTCAGACCACTACAAATCTACGCCCGGGGGCCACATCTATTCAGCTGCCAGCCACCTTACGTTGACAGACATTGTGTGGTCCTTTATGGAGAAGCCGCCTTTGAAGACGTTAATTCAGCTGTGACTGCACACACCAATATCAGTATCACAGCTTTGACACAACACCTCCACACATTTATGCACACACATGAATACAAACAAACACATGCACACAGGGCGGTTGTCTCTGTCACCGGATACGGCGCACATAAAGGGGGCCGTGATTAGCCAATAATATGCTGATCCAGCTGAATAACAATCAGTGTTTATGTATCCCAGGCGCTGAGGACGGGGACACTGCCCTGGAGTGGGGTGTGAAACCCCCTTACAACCCTTCCTCTACAGCTCAAACACTAGTGATAGACAATTACTGCTGTTTATTGTCTCTGCTTGACACGCTCACTGGAGGAAATGGCTTGTAAAATATTATTTGTTTGGAGAGGCTGAAGATGTTTGAAGCACAGCGCTGATTCGGGCAGGGGATGAATTTAACCCTGCGACAGTTAAGAATGGAGTTAGGACGTCTCCACTGATATTAGCACCTGGTTTTTAGTCTTTGTTGGACTGAAAAGACTTTCTGTCAGTCTTCAAAGGTAGGTGACATCCCCTCATCTTTCTAAAGAACGATTTCTCCTACGTTCATCAATGCAACAGTTCAAATAAGCCTTCTCTTCCTTCTGTCTGCTGTACAATGGGCATACATGTGGAACATTTTGAGGGACGAGCCAAGTGGAAGAAGTCACGCAACATTTAGTGACAATGAGCCGTGCAGCACCATGTGAAAGACGACCGAGGAGAGGTGGATGTTTTATTTTTTTGTTTTTCATATAGCTTACATTTCAGGTATTCAACTAGTGCTCTTATCTGGAGAGAGGAGAGATTATCTTGTGTAATGTCAAATTAAATTAGGCAGGCAGGAGATGTGGGGCATGTTGGATAAGAAGTTCATTTTGAAAAGATGATCCTTCAGGTTTGTGAGTGTCTCAGGGTCCATCTACACGAATAAAAGTATTTTTAAAAACAGATATTTTTCTCGTTTTGTTTTAGCCTCTCGTCCACATGCAAACAGATTTTAAGGTTGCTATAACTGAGATTTTTTTAAAACACCGTCTAAGGTGCACTAAGGTACTGTTTATCTGTGTGAACATGTAAAACGAAGTGTTTGAGAAATGATGACATCATCTCTTAAATTCACAAATGCCCGTTTTTGCTTTGTGTAATAAGCATACACTGGAAACAACAACACCAACGATGGCGGACTATTGGTTTGTTCACACTTTGTTAGCACTGCTTGGTCTGATAACTACTTCACACTTAAACTTAGTATTGCTGCACCACTAATGGACGAATGGAGCCGTCTGCTGCACCTGATTATTTTGGTTCCACCTCAGCGTCCGTGGTTTTAAGTCCATCAGAAGTAGTGATTTTGGATCAGACCCGGTCAAACAAGCAGAGGGTAGGACACCACCCAGCGTGGGGTTGTTGTCAATGAGGAGTGGAAGGAAAACTTGGCCAAGTGCAAAGGCATTACTTGTATCTTTGAGTGAGCTCCTTCATCCTAACATCAAACGGGAGTTTACGGTGATGAGCTCTCTAATAGGTGTTTTGAAACAGGTAACAGTAGCCTGTATGCTTTACTGCCTGATGACAGGAAACAGCTGAAGACTGTTAATGCCGACGAGTCGTTTTTGCATTTTAGTGTGGATGGAGATATTTTGTAAAACGCAGGTCCTGTGGACAGAATTAGTTTTGGAAATGGAGAGGAAAAATATCAGTTTTCAGTATCTCCATACATGTAGACAGGCCTCAGAGTCAAATATTTTGGTATTAAGTGATCACATCCGACATAAATAGCTCTTTATATGCCGGAAATGTGGACTCAAGTCACGAGTTTGATAACTTAGACTTGAATAAAAAAAGACTTGCAACCTCACTTAGACTTTAACACTAGGGTTGGGAATCATCAGAGGCTCCACAATATGACATTATCATGATATTTAGGTCATGATACAGTATTATTGCTATAAAATATTTAGCGATACATTGCAATTTATTCCCTTTTTTCAACTGTAATTTATGTCCCTGAAGGAAAACTTTGTCAACATGTGTTTTATCTTATAAGACAAAGTTTTCAGTCTGTTCATCTCACTTCAGTCATTTTATTTGCAGCAAAATGTATGTAGTGGACTGAAAAAGCAACTGATTTCATTATTCAAGTAGGCTACCTAAAGATTAATTTGTATTTGTCATATTAAGAATTTATATGATAAAAAATCAATATTTGACACTGTGTGATGGTATGATCATGCTGCACAAAGACATCACGATTAACACCAATGACTCGTGACTTTGACCTGAACATGAGTCTTTTGACTTGAAAATACTTGATACCTTTCCCCAAGCCCTAAAATTTAAAGTATGTTATCTAAAAATTGTGCCACAAATCAAATCATTTCCTGAATCAACTAAAATGAACACTGTTTTTTCCCAGAAGGTCAACACTTAACTCTTCAGATTCACTTTGAATCAATTCGACAGCATCCAGTGAAATTGCAGGAGCGAATCATGAAGAACTATCGTTGCGTTACTGAGCGCCAGTTAGAGAAAGTGACACCAAAGATAATTATGTTTGCATGCATGAACTGCACTGGTCAACAAAATCAAATAGCAATATGCAAAACATGCGGGTCAAAACTTACAGATGAAGACAAACTTGTGTTAATACAAATTTTTCAGGATTTCTGTAAATTTACTTCATTACTCTGTTGTTAAAATGAGATGGTGAAGAGCTTATTAAAACTCATTTAGGACTCAACACTCAAATTTTAGGACTTGGGACCTGCTTGTCTCGACTTGGGACTTGACTCAGAACCTGAGTACAAAGACTTGAGACTTACTTATGACTTGCAAAACAATGACTTGGTCCCACCTCTTTAATACGCTAACAGGACACATAAAGTCAAACTTTATGGGATTATGAGCTGCACTAAAAACTAATTATATGTTGGTAAGAAAATTCCACATTTAAACTGTTTTAATTCTGTGGCATCTGTAAACCACAGCACACTGAGTGAAAGGGAAGCACCCTCCATTATCACAGTGAATAAAACAGTAATGACCAATTAGGCCCTATAATAAACAGCAGGGCAGCTTATGATCAAGGCCCATTGTCCTCTGTAAGCCCCACAAACTATACTTTCTTTTATTAGCGCCTTTCAAACAGGATGAATAACAGGAGATCCTCTCTGAGGAGCTGCTCTTTGCCAATGAGCTCACCATAAAAAACTAATCCAGCCACTTAACGGGGGGGGAGTGGACATAACTTTGATTTATTTACGTTACTGTGCATTAAGCTGCCGGTTAACATTCTCCAAAACCCGAGCAAATGATGTCACTATTTTGTTGCGGTTCGTAAAGCCCCCATGCTCTCCATGTGTTAAACGAATTATGGCCTGACTTGTTGAAATTCAGCCTCCTGGGAGATGAGTCCTCTCTCTGCAGGGATACAAGCCATATACTTCAGCAGGAGCACATCAATAACAGGAGGTGTCAAGTGGACAAAAGTGGCGTTTGTGCTTTTTTTAAAATGTATCCAGAAATCAACCAGAGTGGAGCCAAGTAAGTGAGCTTTTATTATGTAAGAATGTGTGAGTTATTTAGCACTGGGAGCATAATTCAAATGCAGTATTACTCATTGAAAGATCACTGTGATGCTTGTGTGTTCCTATATGGGATTTACATATTTTATCCTCCTATAGAAACCCTATATCTTTGGTACTCTTGGTGACCTTTAAGTGGTTTTATCCTCTTCAAAATCACTGTAATAGTCATGTTACCATCTAGGGTTGCTGTTCTTATGCAATGTTTGCACTGAATATATCTTTTTAAAACAGTAATGATCACTGTAATATTCCTGTTTGCGCTTACAGTGTTTGCATTGACTTACACCTTTTTAAAACAGCATGTTATCTTTAATATGATTATTTTATTCCTGTAATACCCACACCAAGGGTTGTAGTTTTCTGTCTGCATTGACTTCTATAATATGTTGCACCATTGTGAATCCCCATTTTTGCATCTGCTTTACCTTTAAAGCCATGCACACCAGAGCAGGACAGTGTCACCCACAGCTGTTTACACGGGTGACACATGGATCCAACTGATCTCAGTGGACCAAAAAGGTCAGCCTGTACCCAAAACCCCCCGACCGCAACACCACGACTTTGCGCATCGATGGACATCTGTGTGCAACTTACGTGTGGACAAGGACAGCACGCCGGGAGTGTGCAGCGTGAGGAAAACCAAGCAGAAATCCAACACGGCTTTCATTTTCCCCCCTCACACGTTCTCTGTCTTGATCCTCGTCCTCGTGTTGTTGTGATGTCGCCTTTTTTTTCTCCTCCTCGATCCTGGATAGAAAATTACGCACAGAGTTGGAGAGAGGGGAAAAACAGCACGGGGTTCAAAAAGCTCCGGATTTTATGAAGAAGACAAGTCTCAGGAGTTGAAGGAGCGCACTAGAAAAAGTGTGACCCGGTGGAAAAAGTGCCCCTGTGAGCAGTCATAAGGCAACACGTCCTCAGGAAAAGGCTCAAAGAGTGAGTATACCGCGTCCTGTTTGCAGTCTTTTCCCTTCTTAATGCTTCCTGCAGCTAAATCATACACAAGTTCATACTTTCTAAGCCCCTCCTCTCTCTCTTCCCACACAGTCGCCAGTCATTTCCCCCTCTTTCCGTCCTTTCCCTGCTCCTTTTTTTTTCAACCTCTCCCTCTTCAGTGATGGGTAGGGGAGTCAGAGCCATTCACTTTCACTGAATCACTCTGTCTCTGTTACTTTCCATGCCTCAGGTCTCTGCTTTACAGTCTTCGACCATAGGAGGCTGTTGAGTCACTGAGTTACAGGAAAGGAAATCCTAAATTGTCTTATTCAGTGCCCTCTTATTTTAAATCTCTTTGACTATGCAGAGTGTGACACAGAACCCTTTTCTCACCCTGTTTCCACCCACTTAAATTATGACGTTGTGTAATCTGTGAATTCTCTGCATTGTCAGTTTTGACTCAGACATTATACACTTTAGCAGAACTGTATTATAATAGTCAAATAACATGAGAAACAGTAGGCTCAACCTCTATTTATTTCCAAATATTGTGCATTGGATTTAAGAATCACATGGCCCTCTGTTGACCTTTGCAGTTGTCACTTTCTTCCTGTGAGAATATAAATTGCTTATTTAACCTTCACCATTTTTTATCTGTGAATCCAAAAAACTGCCCACAACAGTGTCTTCTGATATCTGTCCTGACCTTTTGATTTTTACCATTCACCAAAAGTGCAAAGAGTTTGTTAACTGTACGACTATTACCAAACATTTAAAGATCCAGTCAAGATTTAGGGGCATTTAGTGGCATCTAGTGGTGAGGATTGCATTGCAGATTGCAACCAGCTGAAACCTCTCCTGGTTAGAATTCCCTCAGTGTTCATCGTTAAGGTTTTTGTTATGAGGAGCCGAATTATCCGCAGGGGTCTCTTATATTCAAGAACAAATGAATCAGGTGATTTAAACTGGTAAAAACACTGAATGAAGCAGTTTCACGTTACAAATCAGTGTTTCTCTGACACTGTTTGGCATGTCGGAGACAGGCCGCTAGCCTGGCACCTGCTAATAGGTGCTCAGCTTTTTGCTCTGATAACTTAGTATCCAGACATTCAGGAAGTTTTTACCAGGGAGCCGAGTTATTCACAAAGGTTTAATAAACAGACCTGGTGATTTAAAATGATTAAAAAAAAAAAAAACACTGACTAAAGCAGTTTCACATTGAAAATCAGTTTTTCTGCGATGCTGTTATCACGGAGGGGCTGCTAACTCTGGTGGCAGACGCAAACGTGAATAGCCCTGTCTAGAGCCAGTGTTTGGTTTGTCCATTCTGGGCTACTGTAGAAACATGGCAGTGCAACATGGCAGATTCAGTGGACAAGGAGTTGCTCCCTATGTAGATATAAATGCCTCATTCTAAGCTAATGAAAACAGGACAATTGTTATTTTCAGGTGATTATACATGAAAGAAAACATACTTATTATATTCCGTTTCTGCCAACATATCACCCTAAATCCCACACACAGAACTCTCATGCAAGACAGTGTAACTTTTTAAAGATTAAATAACACATTTCTCATCCTACATATTAACCTGTGAATACATAAGCAAAAAAATGCATCCTTGCTTTATTCACTGCACTCTTGAGTTTTGCTGTTACAGTCTTACTTGCTCTGGTAAAACCAGTAGCTAACTTTTTAGCTGGTAAAAACGGACTTTAGGGGCAAAAGACTTTATTGTAACTATATGTCTAATCTAGTTAGACTTCAGATAGACGTCGACATTTATCTGTCACAGAGAGCTGTTTAGTTCTGGACCATCTTAAGCAGGACTAATTTGCCATGAATTCTGGGGAAATTAAGACTTTTAAAACTTAAGAAACATGGCCAACCGAGCGACTGCATCAGCTGCTCCTCTTCCTTTAGTCCCGCAGACAATGTTTGTCTTCTGGAATCTGGAGGAATTTAATAGTCACAAGGACATGCACTCACTGCTGAATACTTCCAACATATGAATGCCGTCTCTAGAAACTCTTTCCTTTCAAAATACATGCAACGTGTTTTCTTAGCATATAACAAATTGTGAGACCTGGGTTGTCTTTGTCATTTATTTGCCATTGGTCAGCAGGTGTCACTGACTGTTATCATTTAAACATGGCTCTTAGTTCAGCCTGGGGGTCGGGTACAAACCTTTTAGGCTTAAAATAAGTCAGTCTTTATTTTGATGAAGCTGTCTAACTTGCAATAGACTAATCTCAGAGCAAAATGAGCACTAGCCTACAACACCACAAAGCCGTCTGAACATAATTTGAAACTGACCTTTGGTGTATATATAGTATAGTATATATAGTGGAAATTGGCTCTAGAGAAAGTTCACCTCTTTGTCCGTGATATGTGTAATATGACCCTGTGGTTTATTCCAAGGAGATCTATGTAAAGGAAATTTTAAAAAACAAAAGGTTACTCTTCCTTTGCATGGTTGCCTTAACGATGTCACGATTGCGGTCCTGTTGTAGTCAAAATGTCACTATTGCTAAATAGACACTGACTAAGCATGAGTCAGAGCATGAAACCCCAAAACACCCACATACCTTCAGTCTAGATGACCTTCATCAAATATGTGAACAAGAATCCCAACAGTCCTGGTAATACACAGAGATGCTGGGTAGATTATCCAAACCACAAATCAGATCAATGGGCAGTTTTTTATTTCAACATACATTTTGACTTGTCACAACAGGAGAAGCACAGGTGTTACTAATAACATTAACAATGGCTCTGCTCTGTTCAAGTGTCCCAGTAAACATGGCAGTTAGCCAGCATGCACAATACTGGACACTGAAACTAAAGCAACTAAATGGAAATCAGTCATTATTAATTTAATCTATACATGTGCTTTTCCTACTTTGACAAGTCAAAATTTCTTCCATACATTAAAAACCTTTTGGAGGATAAACTTCCTCCTTGGCATTGATTCTACAAGTCTCTGGAAATCTTCCGTAGGGATGAACAACATCTTCAAAAAAGACACTCCCTCATTTTCTGTTTTGATGATGGTGGTTGGGAGCGCTGTCTAACATGTCAGTCCAAAATCTCCCATATGTGTTTAATTCGATGGAAATCTGGTGACAGCGAAAGCCATAGTATATGTTTCACATCATTTTCATACTCATCAGACTTTTCAGTGACCCCCTTGTGCCCTGAGGATGGATGCGTTGTCATCCTGGAAGAGACCTCGCCCATCAGAAAAGAAACGTTTCATCATAAGATAAAGGTTTTCACTCAGAACATCAAGGTTAGTTAATTATGTACCATGCAGTGCATCTGTATGCCACTTGAGGCTGACTCCAGAAGTGAGTCAATCCCCATAGACACCCATATTAAAATTCCCAACCTTACAGTAGAGATAAACATGTTTACAGCCTGGTACAAATTGCTAATTTCCCCCTTCGTGACAACTGTATAGTTCACTTGTTTGCATTTTATTGAGGCTTGGAGTTAATTAAGAGCGGGCCACTTTGAGTGACAGGCTGTCTGTGAGATGTCCCCATAGTCTGAGTCAGATCCATCCATCGCTCCTCCACCGCCGCACTTCTGGTTCCAAAAATCCAAAATGCTATACTCAACCTGTTCAGATCCCCCATCTATTCCAATGGACATAACTTTTCTAGGATGTCTACACCTATGAATACTCTCATCTGACTCCAACAAAATGCATAGACCTTTTTGATGGGATGTCTGTAAACCAATCACAGTGTTGCACATCATCTAGAGTGGACTGCAGTAGAGCAACGCCCCTTTCTTAACAAGTGTGGCCAACTGCGAGGCAAGGAGGAAGAGCAAGGCATATTTTAGGGCCTTTTCACACCTAGGTCGTTTGGTCCGGACTTTTGGACTTTCCAGTTTGGTCCGCAGGTGTGAAAACTACCCCCGGACCACGGTGCGGACCAAACAGCCGAAATTTGGTCCAGCCAAAAGAGGTGGTCTCAGTACGGACCAAACGGAACCATGGTCCAGTCCGTTACTAGTATGAAAGCATTTTTTTGGATGGTACGGACTTTCGGACCATTGACAGGAAATTCTGGTGCGCCGGTTGTTCATTTCCACCAGGAGAGAAGTCAAGTCCACCATCAAAAATGAGCCATCTATGGTCACTCACCTCGACACTGGTCGCTCCCGAGTTGGCAGGGCTCTCAGCATTGCTAACATTGCTAGCTGTCTCCTCCTCCTTCCTGCGGACGACATCTTCATACAAGATGTAGATTTATATTTAGTTTTTGTACGAGCCGCGAGTATTGTGCTCTACATTGGTGCTGCAGCTGATAGCAATGCCATAATAGTATGAGTAGCTTAGCGATTATTAGAATCGGTTCGTCCATTTTTATGAGGTAATGTTTTTAAACATTGAGGGGATTTCTACCCGCCTACTTGACAACACGCTGACGTCAGACACCCACCCATTTATAAAACAATCGATGTCAAATATAAGGTGATGTAGCCCATGTAGATGAACGTAACTATGTCATGTAAAGTTCTTTAAACCACTCACAGAATTGCAATGTGAATGCAAAACCAAGGGACCAAATGTATACAATGTAACAAAAACACGAACCATGAAAAAACAATTGTGCAACAGCAGTTGAAATAGTGTGAAATACCTCCACACAGCAGATTCTCTCCTTCGCTCCATGACGTATGACATAGCTTGTGTCGCAATAGATTTACATGGAAAGGATCGCCTCAGGTATAGGTTGCATTTTCTGATACCCGATCCATCTATATTGATGATATCAGGTCCGATATTTGATCCAGATATCAGATCGGTGCATCCCTAGTCCATGGCATAGAAGCATCTCCTCATTTATTCAGGTTATTCCTTTAATTCGTCACCTCTCTTACACTATGAAAACCTTCGAAAGAGACAAAAGTTAAATGCGGCTTTCAAAATGTAAGTGCTGTCTGAGTGTCCAGATAAATAAGATTGACTGTGGGAGAAATTGTCCATGTTTTTAAACCACCACTCTCCAACAGAAACCAGGAAGAGAGGAAGTCTGTTTTTGTCT